GTTAGCCTCATCCTACCAATGGTGTAAATTACAGGCGTTTGTTCGGCGTTTCGCTTTTAACCCGAGAGCGACGAGTAGGAAGCCGCTGGAGCTTTGCATTTTAAAATTTAGATTGAAAACATTTCCTCAGAACTGCTTTTTTTGTATTTAGTTATGCGTGTCCTTCTCCCACACCTCCGATTAGCACGGTTGGCTACGTACGGTGCGAAAGAAGTTCAACATACATACGTACATAGCACTAGGGATGAGCCCCTGTGGTGGCGAGACGGCACCGAAGCAAGCGTCTCCTATCACTCGCTCGATCGATCAATGATGCCTCGTCACATTTGGTCTGTGTCTGTGGCTCTAGTGCTGAAGTGGCTGATGGCGAGCGCTGGGCGGTCCCTTTACTCCACTCCGAAGGAGCACCTACAGCTGCTACCACTCATTTGTAAGGTATGGGAATAATCATCATCACGATGCCATGGGCAGGTAGCCCGTAGGTGTCCACTGTACATTTCATTGTTTCCACTTTCCTCTGTCTTGTGCCAATATGCTCATTTAGTGCACATCTCTCTGGCACCAATCTCTTTTGTAGTCAAGCCATTCTATGTTAGGTCTACCTCTTTTTATGGCTCCTTCCATTTTTTTTAACACACTATTAAGTTTCATGTTGCTGTCCATCCTACATATGTATCCAAATAGTCCCAGTTTCCTTCTTATCACTGCCTGCATCATCAGGTCTTCTTCTATGTGCAACCATTTTCTCATTTATATGTTGGTCCTTCTTTGGGTCCAGTTTAGATGCAGTATCCTTCTGCGGCAATACATTTCGAATGCCAATATCTTGTCTCTTTCAAGTCTCGTAGACATGAACAGCTGTACTGGACATGCAATGTCTTAAGATGTTCAGTTTGGTCTTGTAGCTGATTTGCCTGCTTCTCCAAATGTTATTTGAATTCTGCCATTACCCCTTTTGCCCTTGCGATCCTCACTCTTTTGTCTTTCGTGCAGTCGTTGTTCAATGTTAGTAGACTTCCCAAGTATACACATTCTTTTAGATTCACAATCCTTTACATTCACGGGAATAATAGAATCTAATTAATATTGATTCATTCTTCGAATTCCCTGTGCATACACTGAAGAAAACAAATATGAAACGTTTGTGTCACCGAGCTCAGCAGTCAATCAGTCTTTAATGTGTTGCTTGTCCATGTTGCAGATTACCCCAGTGGAGAACGATGCCAGCTACGATGAGATGAAGAGCGATGCCAAGTTGGCGCTCTCACTCGTGGCCCAGACCCTGCTGCCCACTGACCACGTGCCCATCATCTTCAAAATGCTCGAGCAGGTGACCCGGGCGTGCACGAGCACCAAGCCTTTACGTGGTGTCTTACACACGCTGCGTTGTCGACATAATGGATGTGGTAGGAGCGCCCTGCGGTGGCGAGATGTTACCTACCTCGCCTGGTATGCAAGAGGTCATGAGTTTTGATCCCATCCCTGATGCCTGTAGAGTTGGAGTTTGTGTGTTATCCCCGAGGTATCTTGGATTTTTCTCCGGGTCCCTCTGGTTTTTACCTCCACATTTAGAAGCGTGCATGTAGAGTATTTGGCTGCTATAGATTTACACATGATAAGCCACTTAATTGGGCTATCACTTGTGACCAAGTCGCTTCTGAAGAAGAGTTATATAGCTCAGTGGACCTTACCTGGTAAAATTCAAAGTTTCAGTTTAGTACTTTAATAGTGTAAGGGTATGCAGTTACTGAATTGACCCGGGATGTACCCGTTGTCGTCAGGTTTAAACCGGGATAGTGTTTGTAGGGGCGACCACCATGCAGAACAGGTTTTACAGGCTTCAGGGCTACCTGGTGAGCAACATCGGGCAGTTTAACTTTTCCATTGTTTTGCTGAACTTCTGTGCTGTCACGTTTATGCTGGCTGCTTTCAGCCCACAATGATGGTGTACAGTCATATTACCATAATGACCCGCCATAATGTGAGGAGGCCCCCATCCAGTGATGAACTGACAAAGGGTTTTAGACATGTATGTGTAGTAACTACGATGGCGTGTGTGTGCGTGGTTCAGAGTGCGTGGTGAGGAGCGGTAGTGTAGTGGTTTGTCCACTGCACGAGAAACCCGGTGACCCAAGTTCGATTTCCACTCACGACCAAAAACAATGGTGACTATTTGAACCGGTCCTAGGCCTCCCCGAGGTCGACTTAGGCTTAGCACGGTTGGCTACGTACAGTGCGAAAGATGTTAAACATACATACTTACAATTGAATTTCGATTTAAAGCTTTCGTGACTGCAATGATTCATCTTCTTTGGTTCTTTCGGTAAAGTCACGTAGAATGAGAATAAAATAATAAATTGATAAAATAAAATAACACAATAATATTCTCACGACGTTTCGGCCACAACACAAGCGGCCTTCATCAGGTGAAGGGACGAGACTGTCTGCTAGGACAGCGCTGGAGTGAAAGAGCCACATTCAGATCACGACAGTCTCGTCCCTTCACCTGATGAAGGCCGCTTGTGTTGTGGCCGAAACGTCGTGAGAATATTATTGTGTTATTTTATTTTATCAATTTATTATTTTATTCTCATTCTACGTGGTGACTTTACCGAAAGAACCAAAGAAGATACTTACAATTGATTTACTTGTATGGTGTGTAAACATCAGCGCTGGGGAGATAAAGTCAGCCGGATATAGTATTGGCCACCCACTCCCTCGTGTGCTGTGCCAGACTTAATATACTGCTTGCTATTAGCACTTGCGCCAAAATTCTGCTGAAGACTATATGGGGGATCTTTGTCTCTGTGGTTCGCAGATCTCGTGTAGCAGCTCGTGGCATGCCCGCTACACGGCGCTCATCTACCTGCAGGTCACAGTCTTCTACAACCTCTTCCTTTTCCTCGCTGACCCGGAGGCCGTGTGCTCCATCCGTAAGCAAGTTCTCGCCTTCCTGCAGGACGAGCAGCTTGAGGTGCAACATGGAGCGCTTTCACTCTGCCAACACACACACACGCGCGCAGAGACAAAGATTTCCCGTGTAACCTTAACACACTGTTGGGGTAAGTGCTGTTGGCAAGCACCTATGAAGGCCGGCACGGCACACGAGGGGGCGGGTGGCTAGCACCACGCCCGGCCTCCTTTGTGACGATGTTTACACAATGAACCAGGTGCTCATTTGAAGCTGAGTCGACCTAGGGGAGGTCCAGGACCAGTTTAGATAATTATCACCGGTGTTGGCCGTGAACGGGAATCGAACTTGGGTCTCCGGGTTCGTAGTGCAGTGCACTAACCGCCACACTACCACTCCCCACACACGCACGCATACACGCACGCATACATGCATGTCCGCAGTGGTCGGCACGCCACGCATTGGTCGGCACTGCAAGTCTTGACCGACTTCCTCAATCCACTTGTCTTGAGCCAGGGGTGTTGGACATACGCACGCATGCACGTGAGCAAGTGCACGTGATATATACCCATATGCACAAACAAAATGCACTCGGCATACTCGAGGGTTATTATGCACAGTTTCAACTTGTTTGGATATAAAAGCGAATGTCGGTGAAATTACGATGTCACAGAGCTAATTAAAATCTGCTGAATGTAGCCAATTTACGTGCACCTGGGTCACTTTGCTCCCAGATGCATTTTTGGAAGAGTGCCAGTTTTAGACTCTTCGTATAAAATGTAGCCTCCGTAAAAAAAACTATAGCGCACTGTGGTTTTACTCCCACTTTTTAATTTTGACCACGTAAACGTTTCAGATGGCCAGTTATTTCGCTTGCGTCCCAAAAGATTTTGGGGGGAAAAACACGTAAACTTCCGACACCTGCCATGACACCCCAGGACATCTCTTCACTGCCGCACGGGTTCCCATCACACGTTGGCTTTGTCCATGGTGAGACAGGGGCCTGCCATTTAGCCTGCTGATGTGAGTTACCATAGCAACCCCCCTGGGGGCCCCAGCAGACTGGCTAAGCGGTGCAGTCAGGTCGCAGTGCCCTGCCGGTCCCTGTGCCATCTTCTGGCTGCCGCGTCGCGGTTCATGTCGCACCCGTTGACTCGTGTTTGTGGTAATTACAAAATTGGTGCAGTCCGTTAAAAGGCCGCATTTTCGACATTGATGAGATGCTTTATATGCATTCGATGTTCATAGAAAAGTGGTAACGGTGGTGTCACAGACATATTGTTCTTTGTTGGAATGAAAATGCATGAAGTTGACTTTTACAGAAGTTAGTTACACGGAACCTGATTTTCACTTTACCTGGGTGTTGGTTGAATCTGGTGTCTTGAAAATCTCATTGTTTAGTTTTAAAATATTGTACGTATATAAACGTTGTTTTTTTTTCACGTTTCATTACTGTCATTGACATTGGTAATTTTGTAGTGTAGATCTTATTTTCCATGTTGACGGAAAATGGGTATCTATTAATATCTCCCTGTGGTGAATTGTTCCTGGAAGTTTGGCCTTGCATGTATGCTGATCTCGTATCAGTATGCAGCGCGTGACCCAAAGGAAAAGACACAATACCCAAAACGTGACCCTCCATCGCTCTTGCTCATTGTGGGCTAATCGTTATTCCGGTGAGAAGAGATAACCTCGGATGTCAGCCGAGACATGGATTTTCATCTTGCCTGGGTGGCAGTGGCAGGTCGTCGTTGATTGGAGTCTTTTTATCTTGGACTTGATGGGAACCTTGACCGCATTTCACACTTCACCGACACGGATGCAAAGAATGTTCTCATCGAGGTCTTGCTTTGGTCTTCAAAATACTCGAAGTTAAACGGTCGTCCGCATGCTGATGACCATTAACACGAAGGCATTGAAAGCACAAAAGTAAATAAATGAGAAGGCATTGAATTTATGACAATTTGGTGAAAAATGTAGTGCATGCCAGCTAGGCGATTCGATGTGTTTAGCACTGGAAATGGGATTATTTTATTTTGCAGTTGCATTGGAAAATTTCAATCCTTTGTGATCGTGCTTTGACGATGTCAAATTTCCAGTTCAACATGAATAGCCTTGATACTGCTTTTGCAAGGCACCACTTTGTGTTTGCTCCATACACCATGCCCTGCCATCACGGGGCAAGTTACCATGTTGTACAAACTCTGTATACAAACATCCAAGCGGCAGCCTCACAACAAAGCATCATTACGCTTGTAATTGTGACCGACTGAATGTGACCAATGGGCATTTTATGTCTACATCTGATCCCAAGAATTGTTATCGCTTGGCTGAACTGTCAAACAGCTTGGTTTGTATTAACATGTTACAATGCATCTGCATTCACACCACTGTGTTTATAGTGGATTGTGGGGAGTGGTAGTATAGTGGTTAGCGCATTGCACTCCGACTACCTGAGTTAATTTCCCACTCGCAAACATCGGTGTTGAATATCTGAACCAGTCCTGGACCTCCCCTAGGACAACTCAGCTTGAAATAAGTACCTAGTGCAATGCATAAACATCAGCACTGCATGGACAAAGAAGGCTCGGTATGGTGCTGGCCACCTACCACTTTGTGTGCTGTGCCGGCCTTAATAGGTGCTCACTAACAGCATTTACCCCAACAATCGGTAAGGGCTATATGGGAGGTCTTTGCCTTCATAGTGGTTTTTAATGTTGCATTTTTGACTCGCCCACAGTAAACGTTTTTTCCCATAAAAAAATATGGCAGATACACCGCAAGATATGATTGTACTTTCCCTTTGGGGCATTTGAGCCAGATTAATGTGGAGTGCGTGCGTGCTTGCGTGCAACTGGTGTTGGCTCAGGTGCGGGAGATGGCGGCCACTACCTTGAGTGGCCTCCTGCAGTGCAGCTTCCTGCACATGGACGAGGCCATGCAGAGCCACTTTGAGAGCCTGAGCCAGACACGCATGCCCAAGCGACGTCACAGGGAGGCGAGCCAGCCCATACCTGTCACAGGTGCGCTTTCAGTTATATTATACTAATTGTTTGTTGCAACAATAATTATAACTACACCAATAATTATTGGTGTAGTTGACGCACTCTGTTTGCTCTGTTCGCCATGTCTTGTCGTAGTGAGGCAGATAATTGTCAGTGCCACGCTGCGCAATGATAATGCCAACATCACAACAAGCATTACCCTTTTTGAATGGTGACCGCTGTGGAGAATATAATTAACCAAATACATTTTTTTTACTCCAGCTCCACAAAAAACACCAATGGTTGGATTTTCTACAAAAATAGACAATAAGAAAACTTGCTGTATGCCACAAGCAGAGGTTTTATTGATGACCTGAGGCTCGTGTGTGTGTGTGTGTGTGACTCGTGCAGACCTGGTGCGGCGCCACGCGGGGGTGCTCGGGCTGAGCGCTTGCATCCTCTCTAGCCCCTACGAGGTGCCCACCTGGATGCCCCAGCTCCTCATGGACCTCAGCCAGCACCTCAATGATCCCCAGCCCATCGAGGTAATCTGCGGGCTGCAGCATCACAACATCCGCTCGGAAGGAAATCTCAGAATAGCTTTGCGTGCTGGCTGTTTTTATCTCCATAATGATCCGAATGTAAAGTTATAATCCGGCTCAATAGCGCTGTGGTAAATTACTCGACTCGTACATGGCAAGCCACGGAGTTGGGTCTCAGTGGGGGATCGACTCCACACATCATCCATCTCGGGTCAATAACATTAATATCATCTGGTGTTTAGTTAAGATCGATGGCCCTATTGGGAGGTGGACATTATCATGATTATGCTCGTTTACCCAAAATAGCCTCACTGAGTCCAATGACATTTTTCAGGAGGAACCTACCAAGTCTTTGCAGGAAGGGGCTATGATTGCTTGCATATTTCAATTGAGTAGTTCAATAAGAATGGGGAATTTCCACTTCGATTTTGAGCTGCCAACACAGAATTGAGATGTAGTTAAGATATATTTTTTGTGAGCGAATAACATTTTTGAAGACTATAAACACATTTGCTCGCGACTGTGGATTTTACTTTTTTTAGATGACGGTGAAGAAGACGCTCACCAACTTCCGACGAACGCACCACGACAACTGGCAGGAACACAAGCAGCAGTTCACAGACGATCAGCTGGTGGTGCTCACAGACCTGCTTGTGTCTCCCTGCTACTATGCATGAGCCAGCACGGTATAAAGTAAGACAATATATTGCCCGGCATGCGGATTTATTAGCACACAGTGCATAGTCTAGCAAATTTCATGAACACAACATACGAGATGTGAACCTAGATTGTGAGTTTAAAAACGGACCACGTGGAGATTTACGCTTTTATCTATTTCAAACTGTTAGGACTGAACATAGTTGATCTACTTATTTACTTGAGAGATGTGTGTGTTTTTGTTTCCAGATATTCTTTCGGTGATGCTTTTGGGACTGTGAGCCGTTGACCTTGTGGGACCAGAATCCATCACCAAAAGATTCCGTCTCCTGTTGGTGACGACCAGCTAAAGCTCGCATTGGCGTCATTGGGGATTCTGCATGATAAAAAAAAACCGAGACATTTACAGGCATCTGAACATTTGCCTTTTTATGCACAATACTAAATAAATATTTACACAAGCAATACCCACAGTATTCATTTAAAGCATGTCATGCTCTGCTAAAATGTGATCATGAAATGAATAGTGAAATATTTCCGCGCCAGGTTTTTCGAGCACTTCTATGCTCGTTTACTCAAAATGCCGGGTGTGTGGGGTGCAGTCCCCATCAAGGACGGGGAAGGTTCGAATCCTTTCTCAGAGAAAGAACCTGTATATTGCTAGGTTTTTAATTGTTTTTCTTGATTAAGAGTTTGCATTGTTGTTAATTGCAGTAGTAAATTGTTTATGCATTATGATTGTTTGGGTTTATCTTTTGTTTTACGGCGTTTTATTTTTGTTGTTTAAACCTGTTTACCTTTGAAGTTGTTGCTTGCAGCTCATTGTTCAGGGAGTATAAGTGGACTTTGTGCGATGGAAGCGATCGGCTGGCACCACACGTGGAAGCCAAGTTTGTGACCAGACAAGACTGGTGCCATTTTGGTTTGATATTTTCAACAGGCGTTTGTCTCGTTGGGTTCGTTAAGCGACTGTAACGTGCTGTCTAGCGACAAGAGGCAGCGTTTTTTGACGTTGGCATTTTGATTTTGACTGAAAATTATTTTAATTCATCGGCCACTCGATCCCGGAGTCATTTAAAGGGATCTGAATGAGTGATTTATATTTTATCGTGCCAAATGTTGAAATTTTAAACAAAAACATGATTGGTGCGTTTTTAAACAAAGACATACTCGTCATCTTTCATTATTAACAAAACCTCACAAAAGTGAGGTTGCCACGTGTGCTTGATCAGTGCACGTTTTTGAAACAGACTGCACATGTTGTGAGTCACACACCCCCCCCCCCCCGGGAAAATGATTTCATAATTTTGTCTAAAAGGAAATAAACAATTTTATCAAATCGTACGTCATACAGAAAGAAAGCTGTGTTGCATAATGCGTTACTGGAGATCCATTAATTTTCCGTCATCCGAATGCACAACTCGCAACGTGTCCACGCGCACAGCATCCAATACATTTGGAGATGTAAATGCTATGAAGCATTGATGTGGTGGGAAAGGGAAAAATTAAGTAATTGCCCATAAACCACTAAAATCGCGAAAGAAATATAAAAGCAAGGGGGGGATATACTGTACCTATATATTTTTATGGGAATAAAGGTACATTTAAAACCGATAATTGCTTGTAGAATTGGACCATGAACGTTCAACAAGTACGAATTTTAAAGGAAGAAAAACGAGCTCTTAGTTCCTAAGCGACAAATGTAGAGCTCAAAAAAATAGTTTCTACCCCCGATTTCTTGTGCTGTATATTTTCATTCTGCAGCTCCTGAAGGCAGTCTACTGTTGCAAGTGTTGATGGATAAGTGGACATGACCTGTGGAATAAAGCATACGAATTGTTCTCAGTATTTTCATGCAAAGGGCACTTAATGCCTCGACGACTTAAAGCACCTTGCATCACTTATTTTTCAAGGATTTCATTGCCCTGCTGCAGTCTATCCGAGGGGGCACCCAGTGGCAGCTGTCCCTGTGCGGCTCGAGGTGAAGACACCGGCCTGGAAATGAGCACGGGTCTGCCAGCATGGGTCAATTCTAAGTGATGATAATTACATTCGATTTAAGGCTGATGGGAAAGAATGGCAACGTGTTTTCCCCAATGTATAACGCGACGAAACGCGTACACAGGTATTCTGAGAAACATTGCTTGGCTGCATTCTGCAGAATTGAAATATCCGTGCGGTCAAAAAATGCCCCCTACTCAATGGGTCTATAGGCGCACAAGTCACGATTACCGACAATGGTACAAGCTCCAATTGCTTGCACTTTGTGATTTAGCGCAATTTTACGGCAGATTTTTTTAGAGTCCTTGCACACTCATGGGTTTATTTGTTTATAATTTGTACTGCTGTATTTAATTTTTACTGCTGTATTCCAACATTTTCGCTGCCGATGTTATCCAGCGTTGAACCACCAACCTCATTGCCGTTGATGCAGTCTTGCTTCATTGTCTACTGCCCACGGCGTGCCTGGTACAACTCTTTAATTGATCGTACTGCGTTAGCAGTCGTGCGAAATCGTACGATTTACACATACGCACAACGTGATCGGCACGTCCGACAAGCGTGACGTGTTCTGCATAGCAAGCAAGCAGTCGCGTAGCGCAACACGCGCTAGGAAGAAGAACAATTGGCCGAAACATCGCACATTTTATATTTCCCTCTTTTTTTTAAGGCCACTTTATAGACGAACGTGCCGAGTATTTTTGTTGTTGTTGTTGCTCCCATCCTTTCGCGTGGTCTCCCACCATTTTGGCCCGTGTCGAGGGTGTTGAAGGTCATGGTACATGCGCACGCCCCGTGTTTCCCATCCCCGATGCACGTTGCCACAGTGTTGCGCATCGCCAGCGCCGCGCAGGCAGAGCGAACCGAGCGAGCTGACACCACCCACAGCAGACCGATTCATCATTTCGGCAGTCGCTGCAGTCGATTCGCGCTGCAAATATACGAGCGATGCTCGGGTTTATTTAAGCCCACTTTTTTTCCGGAGAGCGAGCGATGCAATTCCTCGCGGGACGTTCGTCTCTCGTGCGCTGTTTTAAATGCAGCTCCAAAGAGGCAGGCGTCTGTCGGCTAGCGGGAAGGAGGCGGTGGGGGGGGGGATGTGTGTAGAGAATAGCGGTGTCACATCGTAAAACACAAGGAGGAGGCTGCGCATCGCGAGGAGGAAAGGAAGACGCTGCCCGGTGGATCCTTCGAGCGGAGACCCGAGCTCCTGCAATCACGCATCAGCCACCAACGCGTCCATTCATATCCTCATTCATTCATTCACTCATTCATTCATTCACTCATTCGTTGATGTTCGATCCGCGCGTTCTGGAAGAGGAGGAGGCGGAGGGAGACGCGCCTACGACGAAATCGGGGTAAATGCATTCATTCGCCGTGCCCCTGTGCTATTGTTACTGGAATAGCAGTGACGATGATGATGTTGTTGTCTGTGTATGGGTTGCGCTTGTGTGGGACTCGCTGGGGGTGAGGACTCACATTGGCATGCGGCGACGCACGCCGTGCACACTCACATAACATACACAATACACACAATATACATACACCATATACATACACCATATACATACACCATATACATCCAATACACAATATACACTACACACAATATGCATACACACCATATACATACAATAAACACAATGTGCATAATATACACAATACACACACCATATACATACAATACACACCATATACACACCCCATACACACAATATACACGCACAATACACACACACCATATATATACACACCCCATACACACACCATATATACACACACACCCCATACACACACACACCATACATGCACCATATACTCTCCATACAAACACCATATACACATATACGCACATATACACACATATACACCCCCCCATACGATGTACTCGTATATTCTTGTACAGGGAAATTTAGTTACACAAAGACATACCATGACATACACAAATACACACACCAAAACATACACAAAGACACACCATGACATCCACAAATACACACATACACCATAACATCCACAAATACACACACACACCATAACATACACAAATACACACACCATAACATACACAAATACACACACACCATAACATACACAGACACACCATAACACAAAGACACACCATAACACGCACAAAGACACACACACCATAACATACACAAAGACACATACACCATAACATACACAAATACATACCATAACATACACAAAGACATACACCACAACATACACAGACACACACCGTAACACAAAAATACACGCACCATAACATACACAAAGACACACACCATAACACACACATACACGCACCATAACACACAAATACACACCATAACATACACAAAGACACACCATAACATACACAAAGACACACACCATAACATACACAAATACACACACCATAACACAAATACACACACACTATAACATACACAAATACACCATAACATCCACAAAGACACACACCATAACATACACAAAGACACACACACCATAACACACAAATACACACACACCATAACACACAAATACACACAATAACATGCACAAAGACACACACACCATGACACACACCATAACACACAAAGACATACACACCATAACATACACAAAGACACACACCATAACACACAAAGACACACACCATACACAAAGACAAAGATAAAGATCCCCCATATAGCCTTAACAGACTGTAGGGGCAAGTGCTGTTAGCGAGCACCTATGAAGGCCGGAACGGTACACGAGGGGGTGGGTGGCCAGCACCACGCCCGACCGCCTTTGTCTCCCTAGGGGCAATGTTTACACACCGCACCAGGTACTCATTTGAGGCTGAGTCGACCTACACAAAGACACACACCATAACACACACAAAGACACCATAACACACAAAGACACACCATAACATACACAAAGACACACATACACACCATAACACACACAAAGACACACCATAACATACACAAAGACACACACACCATAACACACACAAATACACACCATAACACACAAAGACACCATAACATACACAAAGACACACACACCATAACACACACAAAGACACACACACCATAACACACACAGACACACACACACCATAACATACACAAAGACACACAGACCATAACACACACAAAGACACACCATAACATACACAAAGACGCACACACACACCATAAAATACACAAAGACGCACACCATAACATACACAAAGACACACACACACCATAACACACACAAAGACACACCATAACACACACAAAGACACACACCGATAACATACACAAAGACACACATACACACCATAACACGCAAAGACACACCATAACATACACAAAGACGCGCACACACACCATAACACACAAAGACACACACACCATAACACACAAAGACACCATAACACACACAAAGACACACACCATAACACACACAAAGACACACACACCATAACATACACAAAGACACACACACCATAACACACACAAAGACACACACACACCATAACACACACAAAGACACACCATAACACACACACACCATAACACACACAAAGACACACCATAACATACATAAATACACCATAACACACACAAACACACCATAACACACACAAAGACACACACACAAAGACACACACACACCATAACACACACAAAGACACACACCATAACATACATAAATACACCATAACACACAAACACACCATAACACACACAAAGACACACACCATAACACACAAAGACACACACACCATAACACACACAAAGACACACACCATAACACACACACCATAACACAAACACCATAACAGTCACCCCCCCCCTCTCCAACACCCAGGCACGAATCCCGTCCCTCCTCCTCTCACATCCACGCAGTCTCGCCCACGGTCAACCACCCGGGTCGACTCAAGCGAGTTGCTGGGGGCAGGAGCCGGGATTGTCAGAGCGAGGATCGTGTCGCGTCGTGTGCCCAGTCACGGTGGACGAGGGGGACGAGGGGGCACAGGACCCCCGAGGTGAAGAGGGGAGGAGGAGGAGGGCCCACTGTAGTGAATTCACTGGAGGACGAGGAATCCCACGGGGCTAGGGAGGAGGTGAAGGGGGTTCGAGGAGAAAGTGGGTGAGGGAATGACGGGAGTCACGGGACCCTGTGGTGAGCGGTTCAGGGGACGAGAGGACTTTGTGGTGAGCGGTTAAGGGGACGAGAGGACTTTGTGGTGAGCGGTTAAGGGGACGAGAGGACTTTGTGGTGAGCGGTTCAGGGGACGAGAGGACTTTGTGGTGAGCAGTTAAGGGGAACCCTCCCCACCACCACCACCACGATAGGGGTTCTGGAGTGGTGGGGAGGGAGGAGGACTACGAGGGGATTTGGCTCCTCCGGCGCCAAATCAAGCGATGTGTCTTAAGTCAACGATTTCGCCTGTCTTAATCCCTTGAGACGGGACCATGTGGCTTGCGAGGTCGTCCAGGACTCCAGGACGCGCCGTGTGACAAATGCGAGGCCCCGCGTCACCCCGCGCTCTCTCCGTCTCACCCAGGAGGTCGGGCGCCACCAGGCGAAGATGAGGAAGGAGCGGGGCCGTGGGAGGCCTCACCTGGCCGTCTGAGAGGGCCTCACCTGACCGCCTGAGGTGGGCCTCACCTGACCGCCTGAGAGGGCCTCACCTGACCGCCTGAGGGGGCCTCACCTGGCAACCTGAGGGAGCCTCACCTGACTGCCTGAGAGGGCTTCACCTGGCAACCTGAGGGGGCCTCACCTGGTAACCTGAGAGGGCCTCACCTTGCAACCTGAGGTGGGCCTCACCTGGCAACCTGAGGAGGCCTCACCTGGCAACCTGAGGGGGCCTCACCTGGAAACCTGAGGGGGCCTCACCTGGCAACTTGAAGGGGCCTCACCTGGCGGCCTGAGGGGGCCTCACCTGGTAACCTGAGAGGGCCTCACCTGGCAACCTGAGGTGGGCCTCACCTGGCAACCTGAGGAGGCCTCATCTGGCAACCTGAGGAGGCCTCACCTGGCAACCTCAGGGGGCCTCACCTGGCAACCTGAGGGGGCCTCACCTGGCAACCTGAGGCCTCACCTGGCAACTTGAGGGGGCCTCACCTGGCAACCTGAGGAGGCCTCACCTGGCAACCTGAGGGGGCCTCACCTGGCAACTTGAAGGGGCCTCACCTGGAAACCTGAGGGAGCGTTACCTGGAAACCTGAGGGGGCCTCACCTGGAGGCCTGAGGGGGCCTCACCTGGAGACCTGAGGGGGCCTCACCTGGAGACCTGAGGGGGCCTCACCTGGAGACCTGAGGGGGCCTCACCTGGAAACCTGAGGGGGCCTCACCTGGAGACCTGAGGGGGCCTCACCTGGAGACCTGAGGGGGCCTCACCTGGAAACCTGAGGGGGCCTCACCTGGAGACCTGAGGGGGCCTCACCTGGAAACCTGAGGGGGCCTCACCTGGAGACCTGAGGGGGCCTCACCTGGAGACCTGAGGGGGCCTCACCTGGAAACCTGAGGGGGCCTCACCTGGCGGCCTGAGTGGTCCCTTCACTGCGCGCGCCCCCCTGCCAACATGAACGACAGCAGGCCGGGGCCCCTGCTGGCGCCGCTGCACGCGTCCGCCTCCCCGAGCCAGCAGCACCACCACCTCCTCCTCCTGCCCCACAGCCAGCCGCAGCAGCACCACCTCCTGCCCGACACCGGCGGGCCCGCACCCGATGGGGTCGGCCCCGCGGCGCCGGCGGCCTTGTCCCGCGCCACGCTGGCCGCCTGCACGCTGCTGCTGGCGCTGCTCTTTTGCGTGGGCACGTACGGCAATCTCGTGGTGTTCCTCTCCTTCTTCGACCCGTCGCTGCGCAAGCTGCGGACCCACTTCGACTTCTTGGTGCTGAACCTGTCCTTCTGCGACCTGTTCGTGTCGTGCGCCACGGCGCCCATGCTGGGCTCCGTGCTGCTCGTGCGCCACTGGGCGCGCGGTGCCGTCTCGCACTCGCTCTGCTTCTCGCTGCAGCTCACGGCCGCCGCCTTCCCGCTGCTGTCGCTCCAGACGGTGTCGGTCATCGCCGTGCAGAGGCTGCGCCTCGTGCTGGGCCAGCAGCCGAGCCAGGCCGCGGCCATGCTCGTGTCGCACGCCTCGTCCGCCTCGGCGCTCCTCCTGTCGCTGCTGCTCTGGGCGCTGGGGCTCATCCTCGCCGCGCTCGCCGCCCTCCGCGGCCACACGAGGGGCCCCGGGCCGGGCCCGCAGCTCTGCCTGCCCCTGCTCTCGGGGGGGCTCGTGCTCTACGCGTACGCGGCCGACTTCCTGCTGTGCCTCGTGGTGCTCACCGTCTCGTACGCGCTCATCGCGCACGCCTTGCGGCTCAAGGCGCGGGTGCGAAAGGGCGCCATCATTACCGTGGACGCGGCGCCGGGGGCTCGCCCGGGGGCCGGGGCACGGCCCCCGGGCGAGCCCGACGCGGCGACGGTGGCGGCCCCGGGCGCCGGCGTGACGCGCGACCACGGCCCCGCCGACGACCCCGCGTCGAGGATGCGAGGGCCCGGCCTCATGGCCACGGCGAAGGACTCGAAGGCGCTGCTCACGTGCCTCGTGATCGCGCTGTCGGCCCTCGCTTGCTGCATGCCGCTGTCCGTGGCGCTGCTGCAGGGGGTCATGTCCGCGGGCCCCAACGGCGGCGTGGCCAGCACGCAGCTGGAGGTGTTCGGCTACACGCTGCTCTTCCTCAAGTCGGGCCTCAACCCATTCCTCTACTCGCGCAGCGGGGCAGGGCTGTGGAAGCGCCTCTCCTGCTGCCTCCGCGCGCTCTCCGCGCCGCTGCTCGGCGTCTGCACCTGCTGCACATGCTGCTCCTGCTGCACCTCCTGCTGCACCTGCTGCTGCTGCCGGCCCAAGACGCGGCTGCGCGCCGTGGGGAGAGGAAACCTGAGCGCAAACTGCGCAAAGTCGTCCCACCACGACACCAACTCCGCCTGCATCCTCTCCCCGAAGCGGCCGGCGTCTACGTACGACCGTCCCCACCACCACCACCATCATCACCACCATCGGCACCACCGGCATCAACAGCAGCAGCAGCCGCCTGGTCCACGCGGCCCCCGAGTGGACCAGGCGTGCGGGCCCAGCCTGCACAGCCTCCAGGCCGGGGCCGAGGGGCGTCGGGGTCCCGGGCCGCGTTCCGAGCGCCGCCCGTTCGCGCACAGCGCCTCGTCGCCCATCAACAGCCGCGTGGAGCCCTACTACAGCATCTACAACAGCAGCCCGTCCCCTCCCAGCAGCCCTGGGGGCAGCGTGCAGCACCAGCGAAGGGGACAGCATCCCCGTCGGGGGCAGCGCGGGGGCAGCGCCTGCGTGTGCGCGGCCCCCAAGCTCACGGAGTTGCTGATGGAGCCCGAGAGGCCAGCGGACAGGAACATGATCCCCCTTCCGTCCGTGTGACCGCGGGCACGCTCCCCTGCCCAGCCCCCGCGTCTCTCCCCCTCGACACTCTCCGCTCTCCGCCCTCCATGCTTCCTGTCTCCACTTTCCCCTCGTCTCATCTTTCCACTTCTCCATTCCCGTGCCTCCTCTCATCCTTCCTCTCCTATCTCCACCCTTCTGTCTCCAGTTCCTACTCTCCACTCACCTCTCCGTGTTCCCCTCTATTCCGTCGTCGTGTTACTCTCCTCTCTCCGCTCGCATCTTCTCTCTCCACGGAACTGGTTCACCGATGAATCCGCATCAGCCGCACCGTGCAACCTCCGCGCTCAAGCGGGTCCTACACGGACACTGTCGTGACTGAGCTAACGCGGGCACAGGTACCTGGGACACGCACGCAGAGACAGGTACCTGGGGCAGGCACGCAGACAGGTATCTGGAACGGACAAGCAGAGACAGGTACCTAGGACACACGCAGAGACAGGGACCTGGGACACACGCAGAGACAGGTACCTGGGGCAGGCACGCAGACAGGTATCTGGAACAGACAAGCAGAGACAGGTACATGGGGCAGCGAAGCAGAGACAGGTACCTGGGACACACGCAGAGACAGATACCTGGGACAGCGAAGCAGAGACAGGTACCTGGGACACACACGCAGAGACATGAACCTGGGACACACACAGAGACAGGTACCTGGGACACACACGCAGAGACAGGTACCTGGGACACACGCAGAGACAGGTACCTGGGACACACACGCAGAGACAGGTGCCTGGGACACACACGCAGACACAGGTACCTAGGATACACGCAGGGACCTGGGACACACACGCAGAGACAGGTACCTAGGACACACGCAAAGACAGGGACCTCGGACACACGCAGAGACAGAGACCTGGGACACACACGCAAAGACAGGTACCTAGGACACACGCAAAGACAGGGACCTCGGACACACGCAGAGGCAGGGACCTGGGACACGCACGCAGAGACAGGTACCTAGGACACACGCAAAGACAGGTACCTGGGACACACACGCAGAGACAGGTGCCTGGGACACACACGCAGACACAGGTACCTAGGATACACGCAGGGACCTGGGACACACACGCAGAGACAGGTACCTAGGACACACGCAAAGACAGGGACCTCGGACACACGCAGAGACAGGGACCTGGGACACACACGCAAAGACAGGTACCTAGGACACACGCAAAGACAGGGACCTCGGACACACGCAGAGACAGGGACCTGGGGCAGGCAAGCAGAGACAGGTACCTGGGACACACACGCAGAGACAGGTACCTGGGGCAGGCACGTGGCCGCGATATTCATCTCTCGCAGTCGCGCGGCCCGATTCGTTATCAAACGTGGCGAGACCGAGGGCGAGTTTGTGTCGGCTCTTCCAGCCGTTATCACGTGAATGTTGCGAGGCTGTACTTGTGTTTGGTTGAGGGCACAAGTAATGTACCGTATTATAATTGGTGTAAACTACTGCTTTCTTGAATTGTTGAGCAAATTCCTGCGATGTTCCAGCCGTTTATGTGGGGACATGCTTAATGGCAGGACACCGCAGACGCAAGTGCCAAAACGGTGCCTCTCCCCAGGCCACCCGTCCCCGATCCCCTCCACGAACTCTGTGAAACAAACTTCTGTGACCGCGAGCGGCGCTTTGGTTGTAAACTGCTAATGGACGAATCGATAGCCATGTCCAACAAAATTCACCATTTGGCTGCCAAAACCGCACTGCGTAGCTCGTCACCCATTCTTCATTTACGACTGCAGCATCGTGTGCTGGGGAGCTGTGCAGCTGGGAGATGGGAGCTGGGAAGCTGGGAGCTGTGAATCTGAGGTTTTGGGGAGCTGTGGAGATGGGAAGCTGTGAAGCTGGGGAGATGGGAAGCTGGGAGCTGTGGAACTGTGGAGATGGGAGCTGGGAAAGCTGTGGAGCTGGGAGCTGTGGAGATGGGAAGCTGGAAGCTGGGGAGATGGGAAGCTGGGAGCTGTGGAACTGTGGAGATGGGAGCTGGGAAAGCTGTGGAGCTGGGAGCTGTGGAGATGAGAAGCTGGAAGCTGGGGAGATGGGAAGCTGGGAGCTGTGGAACTGTGGAGATGGGGAGCTGGGGAGATGGGGAGCTGAGAAGCTGGGGAGATGGGAAACTGGGGAGATGGGAAGCTGGGGAGGTGGGAGCTGTGGAGATGGGGAGCTGTGAAGCTGGGGAGATGGGGAGCTGGGAGCTGTGAAGCTGGTGAGATGGGGAGCTGGGAGCTGAGAAGCTGGGGAGATGGGAAGCTGTGGAGCTGTGAAGCTGTGGAGCTGGGAGCTGGGAAAGCTGTGGAGCTGTGAAGCTGTGGAGATGGGAAGCTGGGGAGATGGGGAGCTGGGAAAGCTGTGGAACTGTGGAGCTGTGGAGATGGGGAGCTGGGAAGCTGGGGAACTGACAATGTGGAGGAATGCTTTGGTTTCGTGTTTGAGTTGTGCGTCCACGCCTGCTTGAACCAATGGCAGGCAGTGGCAGGCAGTAAGTTCACAGTGTATCGATGTTATAATTACAATATTGGTGTTAACCGTGTTAAGAGATGGGCACATTTTAGTATTCAGCAGCAGATCGCTTTGATTTGTACATTTCTTAAACGCGTAAATAGGTTGAAAGGAACTACTGTGCGGTATTGTAACACGACGGAGGGTATATTTTCTCGTTTTTTTCAGTACTGTACATAATAGAGAGTGGAAAGTAATTTGTAACAAAGATATTGGCCGACTGAAAACGCCCAATCTCGCTCAGCCATGAAACGAAACAATGTGTGCTTTTCCTATTTCGTATTTAATAAATGGATGATCACTAAAGAATCACCACCGATAGTTTGTATAATGCTCGAGCTTGCAGAGTACCACTTTGGGACATGCTGCTGCATGGCAAATAGGCGATGTGTGTGTGTGCGCGCGTGTCTGTGCACGGCGATTGTTGCATAGGGTGATTGTGGTGCGCGTGTCAAGGTGAGTGTGGGGAGCGGTAGTGTAGCGGTTAGCGCCCTGGGCTACGAACCCGACGACCCGAGTTCGATTGCCGCTCACGGCCAGCATCAATGGCGATTATATTATCTGAACCGATTCTGGGCCTCCTCTAGGTCGACTCAGTCTCAAATGAGTACCTGGGGCAATGTGTAAAACGTGGTGTTGACCGTGTGCTGTGCCGGACAGGTGGTCGCTCACAGCACTTGGCCCGAAAGTCTGTTTACGGCTATACGGGGGATCTTTGTCTTGTATGTGTGTACAGGTATTCGGTGTACACTTACAAAAAAAAACAATTCACCAGCAGCGCCATAAACAATGGCCTTCTCACACATCGTCAAGATAACAAGGCTACCGTTTCGAGCAATAGCTCATTTTTTTCAAGAACTTGTTTGAAACGTTAGCCTCCTGTCGGGAAGGTGCTGTGCGCGTGTGTAACATGATAGCCGAGGTGTTTTATGGAATTGGGCTCCACCGCAATCCGTCATCGAACTCAGTGGTTCTTCTTCTTAACCTGGGGGGTGCATCACGCGCCCCCTGGGAGTGCGAGATGCCCTCTCTGGGGGTAGCGGGGCATGGCCGGATTTTTTGAAAAATAAATTGTCGAAACACAAATTAAGCACGGTCACGTAAGTGCAACGTAATTTTTTACTTCATCAACCCCTACGTATTTATTGAACGTTATATATATTTTTGAACGAGTGAGAATCAAAGGGGTTTTACAAGGCTGCAGTAATGGTTCAGAACCACTGCCCTAACTACTCTATACGCGCCACCCATATCACGACTGACGTGCCACCAGTGGCGTCGTGGCTGCATCATCAGCTCAAGGGGTTGCCGAAATCGGTCAGGCGGAGGCCCCAATATTTGATTCGTCTCGCACGTTCGCACCTAGGCTATTTATATAAAGGCGGCTCCTCTTGCCTAATCACATAATTACATACGGGTTTTTTTTCTTTTTACGCTGTTGTTGAAACCATATCTCATGGTGGTTGGTCAAGGGGGACCCAACTCGTAGCTTTGGCCACCAGAGCGGGCCCAAGGCACCCCCTTGCTCCCCCCCCCCCACGCTAGTTACGCTTCTGCGTGCCACCAATGTTAAGGGCTCGATCCTAGCAGCAGCCGCGGCGGCAGCAGCAGCAGCAGCCCGTGGCATTCGTGGTAGTAGCGACGTGCAGCAGACACTGGGACACCCGGCGTGTCTCTCTGGGGCAGCCACGCTCAGAACGCGCCGTGACAGATTGGAACGCCGGTTATTCTGTCGCGGGTTTTCCCTTCGCGAATCGCGTCGCAGTCTTCGTCGTCGCGATGAAACCCAATTTCACGTCTCTCTGCATTCCCTCCTCGTGTCGCGCTCTGCGCCGCCACGACGCTTGAGGGTGTGGGGATGGGGGTGAATTAGGAAGAGGCGCGGCTATCTCTCTCGTCACCCAGAGGCGGCACGACCCCGGGGGGTCTTCTTCTTGTTGTTCTTCTTCGTGTGGCTGATGTTGATGTAGACCAGTGGCTCTTAACCTGGGGTGCACGCATCCCCTAAGTGGGTGCACGCATCCCCTAAGTGGGTGCGTGATTCCCCTTCTGGGGGGTGCGAGACATGGCCAGATTGTTTTAGAAGGTAAATAATCGAAACACAAATTAAGCACGGGCACGTGAGTACAACGACTTTGCTTCATCAAACCGATGTATTTATTAACATGATACGTTGTTTTACGATTGATAACCAAAGGGTGTAAGGCTGCAGTAAAGGTGAGAAACCACTGATATAGAGGCTATCCAAGTGTTCTTCATCGCAAGGCCTGCGAGCCACTGGCGTCCCCTTGGTGGCCTTTAGTGCGGCCCTCCGACTATAGACAAACGTGAAAACACCCCATCATCATCGTGCGGCCAAATCCCAGTGGTTTCAAATGTGTGGCGGCCCTCACGCTGATGCCTTGTCGGCGAAAGTGCCCCCCCCCCCCCACCTCCTCTCTGACAATGAGTGAAGATCGGAGTTGGTGTATCGCTGTGATCATTTGGGAATCGGGCATTGAGTCGTGGGATGTTCCACGGTCTGTTGTGGGTGGTGACCACAGTCGCACAATTTGCTCTCTTAAAACCATGACGGGGGGGGGGGCTTGTTTAGAAGGGCCATTGGCACGAAACGTCGCCCATTATATATGCGCTGTATTTTTCCCCACTTAAGGACGATGGTATTGGCACAGACTGTAAAAAGCGTTGCCCGGCCGAGCTTTTCGTCATAGTGCAGCAGTGACGTCAATGCATTTAAATTGCCTCGAGACGCTGGGGGTGGTTGGGGGTTTAACGGCGGTAGATCGCCACGGTGAAGACGGCGCTGGCCGCAACTTTACGGTCACCATTCCCCTTGCCTCTCCCCTCCCCATTCGTACCCTCCGCGGCCTCACCAAAACACAACAACGGCCGTGCGCACGACGAGCACAATAGCCTCTCAACACGTTCGTCACTGACACCGCTCTTCAATAGGAATTACAATATACTGTGGTAAGCGACGTTCCGGGCAATGACCACTAGGTCATAGCCACTTTGTCCTGCTAATTAGAAGGCCCATTGCCCGAAACGTCGCCCCTTATATTTACCCCATTTAAGGACGGCGCTGTTGATCAATGTGTTGAGTTGTTTTTTTTCTCTCTCTACGAGATCTGTGTTCCCCCCTCCCTCCCCCACCCAGGGTTGCGTCTTCTGCCAATTAAGGCCGAATACACAGCAGCCTGATAGCACGAGCGCCAATGGTGTGATGATGATGGTGGTGGTGGGGACGTGATGAATGATGGAGCAGCGCGGGGCGGGGGGGGTGGTAGCTCGGGGGAGCCGAGCTCGCGCACAAAACCCCGGGCGCTGACGTCAATCGCGAGCTGCCACCACCACCGCCCGCCTCGGCACTGCGTCACCGGGAGGGAAGGACGAGGGGAGAAGAGGGGTCACACGAGCCCTCTCGAATTTCCTTCACTCCCTTATGTCCCTCCCCTCCCCACCTTACCCACCCGCGGCGCCCCATTCCCTCGTTCTCTATTTCCTTGCGCGCCAGTGTTACTCAACCGTTCACGAAAGAAACACTTTCTAAATGGAGCAACGTGTCCTGAGGTTGTTGCGCGCCAATTCCTCGCGAGCGTGGACCGGGCAACTTCTCGTGGACGCGCGGTGGTGGCTCGAGGTGCCGTCTGCTGCCGCTCTGTGCTCGGTTAAGATGTTTTTCTTGTTCATGTTTTTTGTTTGTTGCGGTTGCACCCGATTTAAGAGCCGAATGGCTCACAGGGCTATACCAAATAAATGAAACTGAACTCTCTCCTCTCCTCCCACTCCAGCCTTCCCATTTCCCTCGATTCTCCCAACCCCACTTTGCCGTCCATCTCATGGTTTTCGTTGCTTTCCTCTCTACTCTCCCTCTCCTGCTTCCGGATCGTCTGTCCTCCCTCCCCCATCTTCCTGTCCCTTCTCTCCTATCCCTCTCCATCATCCCCTCGCTTCCCTAAATTCTCAAAATTCGCCTGCCCCTCCCCATGCTCCCCCCATCTCTATCCCAGTTCTCCTGACCTCCTGATCGCCCACGCGGCCCGCGTCTCGGCGATGAGGACACGTGTGCCGCTTTCATCGTCCGTCCGTGCCCACCTCCCTCCTCTCAATCCCTTCGTCGCATAGCTGGCAACCCATACGGTTTACCCGTATTCCTGTACGGGGAAATTGAGTTTTCAGGGGCCATACGGCGTACAGACGTTTCAACACGGGCAATTTATTTTTGTCTATTTGTTTGTGTTTCTCCCTTATGATGGGACTTTGTAGGATGAACGTTGAGATTTATAAGGGCACGGGGTGACCAACAAGGTCTGAATTGGTCCGTAATAAGGGAGGCACTGATAAGGGGTTGACAGGTGTGTCGTCGCCATTCTTCCAGCTTTCCCCTCCCATAACCCGATGCCAAGGCAAACAATGCAACCTCAGCCACTGCGTTTCCATCGTGGTGCAATTGCCCCACGCTTGCCAGTTACACATAAAATATTAGTTGTATCCGTCCTACGGACCTACTAAACCTCATTTATTAAAATAAAATAAAAATCAATGCACTCCAGCAAACACGCTAATTGGAAGCAGACTCAGCCTGCTGTTTATGATACGGTGATACGTGTTCACCACGCGGATTGGGTGAGGGAGGCCTTCATGTAGCTCGTGGATTGACCACGTGCACGTTGTGGCGGTGCAAGCTATTGGGGACGGTAAACGTGGCATTTTCTCAGACACTGCACGCGTCTATCGATGGGTGAATATGTACACGAGAGGGGATTGCATTGTGTACATTGTGCACGTGTTGTGTGGCGGTTAGCCACGTGTTTTTGTCCATATATAAATTAGGATCCGTATACTTTTATGTACACAATAGGGGTTATGACCAATATACATTCCCTTGGGTTTTTAACAAATCACGCCCACGTCAATGCCCTAATTTGCCCGAGTGATTAATTCTCCACGTGGAAGAGCATCGGTCTCAATCATATACGTATTTTAATTGCGATTAAGTTCAGGCAAGATGCAGCTGTGAGGCTTTGTGCACATAGACAACGACAATGTAAACAAAAAAATGACAAGAATCAGATAACGCTAATCAGAAACAAAATCTTGCCGGAGGAGAGTGAATTCGGCATCCCTCCCGTGGTGTCTCAGCTGCCCCAACAGCAGCAGCAGCCTTGCGTAGCTGCCCCATCACTGCCCCCCCCCCCCAACACGGAATCTGCCTTCTCATGAAAATACAGGAATTTGTAATGCTTAACAACATTGCACTTGTTACGATTCAAACAATTCCATTATAATAACTCAAGACTTTAACACTGTACGTAAATGGAATTGGCAGTTGAGTTGGCAGGCTGAAAACACTTTACTGCCGTCATTAACAAAACACTGGCCTATAACTCAAATATACACAAACATCGAGGGCACTGTCAATCACAGTTGTGGTAGTTGTGTGTATAATAACGTTGGCCAATAACTGGTACTACTAGTCCTTTAATCCCAGGCATGACATGTAATTATAATAAGCAACAATCAGAAAAATACACTGCAGTGGCTGAATATCAAATATTAGCACAATAAATATGGAATTTAACGTAAGAACAAGTCACGATAACACAGCTCTCCCTAGACCTGTGAGACTTATCATAAGTGGCTTTCCAATTGTGAACACGTGCCACCCCGTTGCGAGTTATGCTTGCATTGAGAGTTTCATTCAGCTTCAGTGGTTATAAAGACCGTTGGCCTACTCAGCCACGAACCTCCAAAACCCTGATCTCCACCCTCGCCACCGCTACGCCCGTCGACCTTGCTTCGCGTCGTTGCCAGCTCCTGCCTAGACCAGGTTGTCCAGCGTGAGCTGCTGGGGCCTGACGTCGATGTCTTCGTGGTCGTCGTACGGCCCCTCGTACTCCGGCGCCAGCTCCTCCTCAAACATGCGCTGGAGCAGCGTGTCCACCGTCCTGTAGCCTGCGCCGCACGCACGCGCACACTCCAGTGATCATACGAATCTCTCACCGCGTTCCCCTCGCAGTCGTTCATCATCACCTCTGATTAGCACGGTTGGCTACGTACGGTGCGAAAAAAGTTCACCATACATCATCATTACATACGTGGCGCCTTTCTCGAAACAAATCTACCACTCAAAGTGGGTTATGTATGTTGAACTTCTTTCGCACTGTACATAGCCAACCGTGCTAATCGGAGGTGCAGGAGGACAACGGCCGCATAATCGCATCTGAAAGCGCGCGATGCAGTGGCCATCTTTGTTGAATGGCCAGCAAAAAGCTGGGGAGGTGGGAGCTGGGAGTTTATGCTCCTTGACGAGATCAGCAAGGTATTGTGGGTCAATTGTGGCAAGTACTTTGTGTGTAATGAGTGCGACATTATAATGTATTTGTTCGGCAACCGGGAAGCAATGCAGCTTGGCGAGCACTGGACAGATCTGGTCAGATCTTGCAATTTGCAGACGCTGCAGCTGAGTAATGTTTTCCTTCCTGAGAGCCGAATGTGACTTTCAAATATGATACCTTCAGTGGACCACACATGACCACATGGACCTCAACCACTTCTGTCACTGCAAGAGGCCCTTGCGGTGACGAACGTGACTTGAGCGTGCTAAAATTAGAAACGCGCTGTTGCCACGTCAAAAATATTCCAATCGAGTACCGGATGCGCGCGGCTAATATGCTTGCAGCGACAGATAAAGTATGATATGGATGGTTTCAGAATGGTTGGCCCCGTGTGGGCGCGAGCCGTATGAAATGAATGAGCAGGCTGTATCGGCCCATGGTCTGTAGCTTTCCCAACTCTAGTTTCACTCCCGGGAAAACACATTCCGCAGACTCTCTCCGCGCTGCTGCTACATTAACAGGGGCAACGTCGTGGGTGCCGTCATTGGTTTGAGGGAGCAGCACGTACGCCTGTCCGATATCTTGAACATGATGCGGCTGTCGGCGGGCTTGCTGGCCTCCACGCCACTCGGCTCCTGGTCCTGCGTCTCCATGTTGTCGACGAGCACCATGCCGTTACCCGCCACGTCCTCCCTGGGAAGGCAGCTGTGGCTCAGAAAACAAAAATTTTCCTCCTACGGCCATCGCTGCCACACCCATTCTTATTATTCACAACCCTCTGTCAATCCACTGCTGGAAGAAGGGATCCCCACACTGTCGGTCATGGCGTTTGATTGTACTCCACCACGCTGGCCTGTGAGGATTGATAAAACTATAAACTAAAACTATTTTTTATTTTACCAGGTAAGGGCCACTGAGCTATGTAGCTCTTCTCCAGAAACGACCTGGCCACATATGAAAGCTCAACGAAGTGGCTTATCGCGTGGAAATGTATAGCAGCCAAATACTCAAAATGTGGATTCTAAATGTGGAGTGAAAAACTGGAGGACCCGGAGAAAAATCGACCACGGGGAGAACATGGAAACTCCTAATATACAGCAGGCATCGTCAGGGTCAGGATCAAACCCACACCCTCCGGCATACCAGGCGAGGGAGTTAACATCTCGCCACCATGGATTGGTGAGGGCGTGGGGGGCAGAACCGGGTCAGATGTTAGCCGTGACCGGTAATCAAACTTTGGTAACCAGCCATAGCACAGTTTAAAACCACTGTGCCACTGCTCTCCCCCCCACCCCCCACCTCCTCTGCAGTAATGTCCATAGTTGAATTTGATCTGGCTTATCATAATACCTGGAAATTGTACTCGTTCATTTTAAACAGAGCTAATCTCAAGGATCCGAACAGCCTGGATGATCATTGCTCATCCGTCGTCAATGACGCGGGGTTCGCGTGCACGCTCCTCTCCGATAACGGAGCCGCCCAGCTCGGGCCTTGTTGAGTGGCCTCGGGTGGTGCGCGGAGCCTCACTCGGCGATGCCCAGCCCCAACTCCTGGATCTTCTTTTCTATCGCCGACTCCGTCTCGCCCTTGTCAAGCGTGTACTCCAGGATGAATGCCTCCAGGATGAAGGCGATGAATATGCTGGAAAGGGAAACGGTACGCGCAGCACGCGACATTGGGCTACTTGACTCTGGGGCGGGAGAAATGCAGGATGCACTTTTTTTTTAATCAAAATGCGTCGCCGTAGAGGAGCAAACTCACTTGATGACCAAGATGACGACGATCATGTGGAAGAGGATGAAGTAAACCCTGGCTCCTACGTTGGTAACGGCCACAAATCCGCTGGCGAGAAGTGCTTGCGTCAAGGAGATCAACCTCAAACATTTCTAAAGCCTCTAGTCATTTACATTATGAGACCTCCTTTGCCAGTAACAAGATATAGTAATAGTCACGTAGAATGAGAATAAAATAATAAATTGATAAAATAAAATAACACAATAATATTCTCACGACGTTTCGGCCACAACACAAGCGGCCTTCATCAGGTGAAGGGGGCGAGACTGTCTGGTAGGACAGCGCTGGAGTGAGAGAGCCACGTTCAGATCACGGCTTTTAAGCTGTGTGAGAGGAACAAAGAGCCTTGACGAAGGAATTAGCATAAAATTTAGCATTGAAATGGCTGAATGATTAGCTTGTGACTGGTCACAGAAATAGCTATGTTAAAAGTTAAAGCATACACATCCGCAGAGGCACCCATTGTTAAAAGGAATTAGCATAGAATTTAGCATTGAAATAGCTAAGTTAAGGCATACACATCCGCAGAGGCACCCCTTGACAATGGGATTAGCATAGAATTTAGCATTGAAATGGCTGAGTGATTCGCTTGTAACTGCTACAGAAATAGTTACGTTGAAGTCAGAGCATACACATTCTAATTCCTTTTAACAATGGGTGCCTCTGCGGATGTGTATGCTTTAACTTTTAACATAGCTATTTCTGTGACCAGTCACAAGCTAATCATTCAGCCATTTCAATGCTAAATTTTATGCTAATTCCTTTGTCAAGGCTCTTTGTTCCTCTCACACAGCTTAAAAGCCGTGATCTGAACGTGGTTCTCTCACTCCAGCGCTGTCCTACCAGACAGTCTCGCCCCCTTCACCTGATGAAGGCCGCTTGTGTTGTGGCCGAAACGTCGTGAGAATATTATTGTGTTATTTTATTTTATCAATTTATTATTTTATTCTCATTCTACGTGACTTTACCGAAAGAACCAAAGAAGATGAATCATTGCAGTCACGAAAGCTTTAAATCGAAATATAGTAATAGGTTTTACCCTTTTAACTGGCACAAAAAACTGACACCTTAATTCATAGCATCATGTCTGCAATAACCGCAACACAAGCAGTCAAAATGCAAACAAAAAGACAACTCTGATAATAATATGCACTGTCCTTGAATTTGATTGGTCCACACCCGAGACGGCTTTCTTTAGTCTCCACTGGTGATGGGCCAGAAGACGCCAAAAGGCGTACAACTCAAAAAACAGCACACTATCAGAGTATTGAGGGATCGGGGTGAGCATTTACATTATGAGACCGCCTTTGCCAGTAACAAGATATAGTAATAGGTTTTACCCTTTTAACTGGCACAAAAAAAACCTATTACTACAGCCTCTAGTCATGCTTTTCCCCGAACAATTACAAACCATGCCAACTAACCTACGAGAGAAGCTATTGGTTAACAGCAACTACTGTCTTTGCACGTTTTGTGAATAATGTGAACCTAATTCCCAATACACCTTGGCACATTCTAAGGTGCTGTGTATGAAACGATATAAGACAGAGAGTTGTATTGAAAAGCAAATTATGGAAAGGGGTGTTTGTTCAAGAAGACACGTAGAATGCGTTAGATTGGTAAGTTATGGGAGCTTAAGCTTGGGTTTATAATTAATTTGATTTTAACCGAGGTAATCATCAACCGGGGCCACATCCCCCCCCCAGATAATAACTCGCGTGGGGGCTGTGAGAGGGAGGATATCATGCCACTGGTTCACCACGGTGAGCTCCACCAGCAGGACGAAGGAGGAGGAGAGATCATTGAAGTTGTTCTTGCAGTACTTCTCGTTGTAGAACTTGGAGCCATTGAGCAGGGGGTTCCCGCAGAACGGCTGAGCATCCGCGCTCCCAGCCGGAAAGAATCGGATCTTTCCCTGGAACAGCTCCATCCCGAGGATGGCAAACGTGTAGTAAAACACCTGGGGCGGGACGAGGTGGCCTGTTAGAGGTGGCCTGCTGCACGCGCCTCTGCTCACAGATGCCCAGCAAAGATGACGACAGCGGTTCTCAACTTGTGGGGGTGTACGGCCACCCCCCCCCCCCCCGGCACCAGCCCTGGCTCCGCCACCCTATATGGAAGGTTGCAGCATGGATACTGTGCAAGAGAAATGTGTTTATGTGCGCGGGGAATGTCCGCTCCACGTTGCAAGTGGCAAAACACACTCCTACGCAGCATGAAACGAACGACTCACTCGCACACATTTACGCATTGACTCGAGACAGGGGCATGTGATTTGTCTGTATTATTGTGACTTTAGTAAACTCGGTTAGTGGAGGGGGGAGTACCAATGAGAGCTACTGCCCAATGATCAAGAATGTGCCCGTGGTGGTTGGATCCTGGAAGCTAAGCTAGTGTTGTCGTGACCACATGAACATACCAGATATTTTTATTTAAAGCTTTCGTGACTGCAGTAATTAATATTCTTAGCTCTTTCGGTAAAGTCACGTTGAAGGGAAACAATAAAACAATAAAATATATATAAAACAATAAAAATTCTCACGACGTTTCGACCATAACACAAACGGTCGTCATCAGGTGTGAAAAGCAACGGCAAGAAACATTTGAAAGAAGTGGCGGTTTGCATTTATTTTTAAACGGTGTTTGTATTTATTTAAAAAAAACGTTAGCACCACGGGCAGCGATTTGGCAGTTTGTTTAGAAGGACGAGTCCATCCATTTTCTGAAAAGAGGAGGGGGGAGACGAAAAATTAATGTATGCTGTCTGAAAGCCACCGTAAGCGTGAACAATCAATTAAAACCTGAAATGGTTTATCTAATCCTTCCAATGATTGCCAAGCCAGAATCCATCTTCTCGGTTGAAATTGTGTTTAGTCCTTGATGAACCAAGTCTTCCATGCATATCCGACCAGGAGCACATAGGCAGTGAACTCAAGCACATACACCAAGCTATTAAGGCTAATGGTTACTCCGACTATACAATCCACAAAGCTATCACTCAAACCATGAAGAAGGACCCTCTTGAGGACCCTTTCAAAACCATCACTTTACCCTACATTGCGGGGATCACAAAAAAGATCTCCAAAATATTGAATAAACACAAGATCCAGGTCCGTTTCAACACATTACATAAAATCCGTGATCTGGTTCCGTCTGTAAAAGATGTGATTCCGGACATACAGTACCCTGGTGTCTACAATCTAAGTTGCCTCTGTGGTAGTAGTTACATTGGAGAAACCAAACGCCATGTCTCGGACCGCATTCGTGAACACAAAGCAGACCTTAAACACGGTAGGACCAACACCTCGGCCGTGGCAGATCAGTGTTATAATTCAGTAGGCTGAATTTAATGTGGTGCTACACTCTGATGTTGTAGGAGAAAACATTTATTAAAAAATCTATTTAATTAAGTAGAACGTTATCTATATTTATTTAAAGTTGCGCATTTTGATGCGACGTCACATTTCTCAAACCCCCCCCCCCCCTTCGTCACACATCGTCACAAATGTCTGACCCCCCCCCCCCAGGTGCGTGACGTCATTTATGGACGGCCCATAAAAAAAAGTGTCTTGAGACTCGTCAGGCTTTTGCTGGGTAAATAATTGGTATCATTATTGTTAACAACGGCCTGGTCAGCAATCCACAATCACTCTCACCATGATGAGCCCTGCGTACGTCACCATAGTGGGGCCGATGTTGATCATGGTGTGAATCACCACGCGGAATCTGTGGCGAGATCATAAATCGGCAGCAATTACATTTACTTGTCTGCAGTGACTGCCGTACGTGACAGGGCGAGGAGAGGGTTGTGAGTGACGTAGCCTGCCGAACGTTAAACATTTCAGTGCAATAAACCCTTCCTTGCCTGCAGAATTAACACAAAAACTCAACATCAAGAGTGAATTAAAATAATAACGCCTGAAATATCATAGTTGCACATTAATGATCAGAATTGTTATGGGAATAACTATGCATGAGGTCATAGATTAAGAATTATTCGATTGCTGGCCGTATATGCATCGAATCATGCGTGCGAGGATCAATTCCTTTTGATTGGTGCATTGTTCGGTACCTGTAAATTATAATTATTATTATTGCTGCTACTAACTTGTTTTAGGGTTCATCTTACCCCTGCTGGCCACAAGATGGCGCCACAAGAACTGCAATCCCAGAACTGTGACGATTTCGATGCATTGTGAGGTCGTGGCGGGGGGGAGGGCGGGGGAAATCGCGATTGACGGAATAATTATGCTTTTGCAGACAACCCTGTGTCTGTCCGAGATTTAGAACGTTAAATACACACGACTTGGCTTTTCCCTCACAACTCACCGCTCAAAACTTTCAACGATCCTCAACAGCCGCAGCACACGGAGGATCAGCAAGAAGTCCAAAATCTGAGTGCTGGTCGTGGCTGGAAGAAACGAAATGGAGGCGGTCAAGACTCCTGTGACCTTTACTCGATCCGCACGGCAGTAACCGAAGCCCGCATTGCTATGGGCGTGCATCCTGTAATAAAAAAAAAGATTCCCGTAGAAGCAGCTTCATTATAATCCTCTGACAAGACAATTGCATTATCCTCGAATGTACGGGCGATTGCGAGAGATAGCACTGCAATGAGGAGGCATGGCAACATTCATCGCTGATGTCGGCACTACGCGCAGTACTATGCAAGGCCATAGGAGGGTTACTGCTGCTGCTGTTTGTTGGGATTATAGATTGGATTAATTTAGGAGGTAAACACCTATTGACATTAGAAGTGTCTCAACCGAAACCTGGGTCAAGTTTCAATAAACCGCGTACATCGAGCAAGTGGGAGAGTAAAACATTAAGTCAGTATCCACAAATTGAACTGGATCACTAACACTGATATAATTCACTGAATAATAATTATTAACTGCAGCTAAGTATGAGTGCAAAATTAAGACAAAACCAAACACGCAGTTGCATGTATTATTAATAGAGATTAAAAATGGCTCTTTCCATGAAGCGAAAGCAAATGTCATTGAGTATTTTTTTGCGCGGTAATTTTTAAGCGAGCGTGATATAATATTTCACTGAACGGATGCTCATATTTCACATAACTGCACCTTTAAGTGAGGGTTCAAATGCATGGACATTGGAATCTGGCTACATATATCAGCCATCAAATACCAGCACTTCTCAGCAATATATTCTGTAGCCCTCATAAACAGTCATGATTAAACCCACAACAGCATTACCATAGCAGGGAATAAGGGTTCTGACCTCCCACAGATGTGTTAACGTACTATAATATAATATTAAAGCAGTCATAATAACGTGCGTGTCATCCTTTAGCCATGAAAGAGCCGTGATTGTTTACTCACTGGAATGTACGATGATCGTTGCAAGTAGAGCCGAGATGACGATCATCACGTCAAACCTGCATTTAAAAATAAAGATTATTGTGTGGAGGCAATGTGGAGTCACACGGGCAGCGAAAGAGACGCACGTCACCTGGCCAGCCTTTATTGGGGCGACTCGAGGACACGTGGTCGAAAAGTATTCCAGGCGGGGTCATGGAATTGACCCAGACCGGTCTTGTAGTGCCATGGGCCACGCCTTGACTTGTGTTCGTGGCTCGCTGCATCAAATATTGTTGTGGGTGTTATAAATGGAACTTATCTATTATTTTAAATAGGGTTGCATCTGTTCTGGTCAATTTATGATTCTGAACAGGACTGCAGAATCGTAACATGGCCCCACTCATCTTCATTAATGAGAGCACTCCACACCACCCTTGCGAGAAGGGTGTGTATGATTTACTGTGGAATGAATGCAGACCATGCAATGCACCATGGGATGAAGCTTGTTGCACTTGCCAGTTCCAGAAGTTGCTGCGTGAGAAGAAGGTCTGTGGCTCGTACGTGTACAGCTTGAGCAAGATCTCCAGCACGTAGAGGCCCAGGAAGAGCCACTCGGCTTGACGGATCGCCAGGCTAGCCTCGTCACCCGCGATGAAGCCCGCGTTCAGCAGGATGACCCCATCGAAGAAGTAGCGGAAAAACCTGCGCCGATTCGGCAAGATGGCTCGTGATTACTGAGGACCATAAATCAGAATATTTATTTTTACGGGGGGAATCTGATGAGCTATAAAGCACTTTTTGTCACAGATGTGCAGTAGGGGTGGGTCAGAATGCTACAATAACAAACAATACAAAAAATATGATAGGAGTGCAAAGTATATGAAAGTTTAGCAAATCACCAAAAAATAAACAAATTAAACTGAATAATTTTTTCTTTTACCAGGTAAAGCCCACTGAGCTATTACCTTTTTTTTCAGAAGCGACCTGGCCACAAATTTAATCTCAACGAAGTGGCTTGTGTCAAAAATTATAGCAGCCAAATGATCTGAACACGTTTCCAATTTACAAGCAACCAGACAAAAGCCCCGTTACATGGCAGAACGACAAGGTCAAGGTCGGTGCAATAGACAAGGCAAGTATTGGCGACCTGCACTCTAGAAATGTTTTAGGAGTTTAATTCTTACACAGGCTTTCACGACCATTATTAAGATTGACAATTGGATTATTTTGGGTTAGATCGCCTACGTATAATGGCAATTAGAAAGAAAGCAAAACTCGACAATTTTAATAAACTTTGTCAAAACTTTTGGTGAAAAACAAATTCGCACATTTGAATCATTTTGCGGGACCCCGGGGTCCCGCAAAAATCAGGTCAATAATTATTATTTTTCAGTCCGTCCACTCGTGATCCCGACAGCAACGCGCCGCCCGCCCAGACTCGCCGTGCCAACAAGCGCCAGCAGGCGGCGACCAACACGATGGGCGCCACCCCACCGGCCAAACGCAAGCCCCGGGGGGGCGTCCGCCGCAGTCGCGCGCGGCGACGACGCCCTCCGGTCAGCCGTCGATCCTCAGCTTCTTTGCCAAGGCGAGCCCGCCCCCCAGGCAGTGAATTGAACGTGTTTATGTAATTTTTCAACTGTTTACAAAACTTAGTGCCCCGGGTAGCTCTCGGCGAGGCCAATCGATTGACACTCGTTTTGTTGTCGGTAAGGCAAGGCTCGTGTCACTACGCGGTTTTTCCCACCCCGGGGCAGTGATGGGACCCCGGGGTCCCACCAATTGCTTCATTTGCCCACGTGATATTTATCCCGCATCTCCGATTAGCACGGTTGGCTACGTACGGTGGCTCTCACTGATATCATACCTACACGATCTCACCCAAAATGAACCAATTCCGAATAATTTTTGTAAGTTGCCTATTCTCAATGGTGCAGAGCAGTGGTGTGGTGGTTCGTGCATTTCTCGAGGAACCGGGCAACCTGAGTTTGCTTCCTCGTCATGGCCTGCATGAGTGGCGATGTCGAAACTGGTCCAGCAGTGAGCTGACAAAAGGGCTGCGTACATTTACACAGCAGCGTCGTATCATGATGAAGATGTATGTATGTATGTTGAACTTCTTTGACACCGTACGTACGTAGTCAACCGTGCTAATCGGAGCGGCAGGCGAAAGACAACAAACTAAACACAAATATGATCATGATGATGATGATCCACTCAGTGGAAGGGGCACGAGACATACAGCAACGCGCTGACCTGTGATGTACGACGTGACGCAGGGCCTGGCTTGCGGCGGAGCTGTAAACGCGGGGGGCACAGCTCTGCAGGGGGTGCTGCCGCCCCCTCGTCTCGATGACCTCGATGTTGAGCAGATCGGTGAGCCGCACGAACGCCTGCTTGCCTGCCACACGGCACCGGGTGAACGCACGTGAACGCGCACCGCCATTGCGAAATCACGCAAACGGAACTGTGTAAAAAGAATAATTCACGATTGCACTTTGGCCTTGGCGATTTGTGCAGTATTTGTTGAATATATGGCGATTGATTCCCATCCATATGATTGTTAAATAGCCACCATTTGCTCAAGACACTCAATAGAAACAAAATTAAGTAATAAATGCAATAATAGATACACGTAAACATCAGGGACTGGGAAGATGGAGGTGGCCAGGCCATGGTTCCGGCCACACCATCCCCTCGTGTGCCGTGCCAGCCTTAATCGGTGCTGCTCACTCGCAGCACGATTTTTTGCCCCAGCAGTGTATGCATGTGCAAGACTTGCCAATGTGCCCTGTGTGCTCCTCGTCAGACACCTGCCACAGCAGCAGGCGTTGGGCCTGGCTCATGCTCGGCACTGCCATCCCCACCAGCTGCATCCAGCTCTGCTGGCTCACCGCCCAGCCCTCCCCGAGCCGCTCGCGCAGGATCCCAAATGCCTTGGCCATCGTCCGCCGCTTGCTGAACACCGAGTTGCGAACCTCATTCTGAAGAAAGCAAAATGCACATTGATCCCATTTGTCCTTCACGTCGTCATCGTTATCATCATCAAGATTATTATAGTCATCGTTAAGGCTTCGGTTTGTTACGACACGAGCGATGTTGGTTAGAAGCGACCTGCTCGCACACACCGTGGTAACACTTCCTCTTGTAGTGATGTGCACATGGAATATCCTCTCTCATGCTGGCTGGGGGGCTAAGTTGAAATCTCTGAGCCGGAAGTACTTCTGCTAAATGCTAAACATTCCAATCACCCACAGTTCAGCTTTGATTTACAAATGGCACAGTTCACGTGGCACAGATTTGCTTCACTGTGTACCCGTAGCACCGATCAATTAACTGTAACAGCTGCCGCCTGATAATGCACGTGTACCGCGAACGCTCGGCAGTATGCGACAATCGGGGATTGCGACGGAGGGGCGTCAAACCGGGACTGGCCCCGTGCGCGCCGACCGTCCGGGGGTTGTGCGTGCGGACCCAGCGCGTGTTCACCTTGAGGTGCTTCCTGTAGTTGTTGTAGACCACCGCCAGGAAGATGGACATGAACAGGTAGGTGTTCACCACGATGTAGATGATGAAGAAAATGGCATACCAGCTGCTGCTGTTGTAGGCTGGCATCCTGCCGACGATGAATTCACATTTTAAGGTGGTCGTGGCGGGGGGATATGCGTTTGCGTCTGTGTGTGTGCGTGCGTGCGAGAATGAGGAGTGGTAGCGAAGTGGTTAATGCCCTGCGCTTCGAACCCGGACACCCGGGTTCAATTCCCGCACACTGCCACCATCTTAACTGGTCTTGAGCCTCCCCTCGGTCGACTCAGCCTCAATATACGTACCTGGTGAGGCGTGTAAACATCGCCACTAGGGAGGCAAAGGTGGCGAGGCATGGTGCTGGCCACTTTCCCCCCCCCCCGTATTCTGTCTTAGCCTTTATAGGTGCTCGCAAACAGCACTTGCCTCAAACAGTCTGTTTAGTCTATACGGGGGTCTTTGTGCATGCGAGTGAACTTCAGCGACTTGTTATGATGATTGCTTGGTACATGGTAAAGTGACGTGAGTAATCTAACGAACCGTGCATTGAGTTTCATTTTGGCAATTCAAAAAACCTGCTCGTTAAATTTATTGAAGGTGCTAAAACGACGACAGTAGGAGCAGAAATGCTGAGCTGGGAATGGTGATGCACGCCTGCTGTGATCCGGCGATTTGGAAGCAAAAGGGTTTGTGACTCTCGTAGATTTGTAAAAGCACAAAACCCAGGAAGTGGGCTTCTGAAACCCATGTGTGGATGTTTGAGTGTTATATCTTTGTAGGAATGGTGTTTCCCTGGGTATTCCCAATTCCTTCCACACACAAAACTTCCTGAAATGAAATCGGCCATATATTCTAATTTAGGACCCCTTGAGAAAATAGTCTTGAGACTCAGTGTGGCTTTTCTTGTTAAGTAAAACACATTATGATTGTTTACATTATAATTTATCCGAATTCCAAAAAAATCCACTTTCTTTGGCAGCAACGGCCTTACTCAGTATGCCTGTGCTGCCAATTGCTGCTGTTGCTGCGTACGAGCTTTAGTATATCAACATATCTGCTGCACTCCAGGCTGTCTTCAGTCAGCCTGGTCTGTGTGTCCTTCACCGCGAGTGTGGAGCCATGTATCTACTGTGTAATGGATCTCAACATATTAGCAAGCCACTGGAGCTATGCACTTTTAAATCTAAATTGAAGACTAATTTCTCTAGAACTGATTTTCGGGTTTAGTTTGCTGTCCTACCTCCGCATCTCCCATTAGCACGGTTGGCTGTGTATGGTGCAAAAGAAGTTCAACATACATATGACTTGGGTGTCGAGCAAGCGCCCCTTGACTTGCAACTCACATGACGTCAGGGCTGTTGGACGTCGTCACCAGCACATAGAGCTCAAAGAAAATATTAAAGTAGTTCTGAAAGTACGGCTTTCCTTCGCCTGTGATCAAATGTCTGAAATGAAACAATAGGGCGTGTCAGACAGGGCAACTCTCTCGAGCCCATTCAACGAGTAGAACATTTGCAACCACATAATTTAGGATGTACATTCCCTCCGGGTCACTAGAATATCTGGTCTGTATACCAGACAGACCAGATTGAATAAAGCCCTGGGTCTCAATGACCGTAATGTGCAGATATTAAAATAATTATCCGAGTGTGCCGACACCTTTTTCCGAAGAGCTTGAAGGCCATGAGGGAGAATATGGCAATGCTGAAGAGAAAGAGCACCAGCACGCCCAAGATTTCCGGCAGTGTTCGTCGGATGTTCCGGAACGAGCGACGCAGCTGCACACCCGAAGCACAGCACAATGTCACGACCTCGAGACGGAAAAAAGGCACACGGCACCGACACAGACACGGACAGAGTGAGAGAGAAAGAGATGGCGATAGTTCCGGCCTCCGGTTGGGCTCTCACCTGCCTGCTCTCGCTGAAGTTGATGACGAAGAGCGGCCGGAGGGCGCGCGACCACCTCACGATGTAATAGCCGCTGTGCGTGAGCGCAACGTAAATAACCATGTCGATCACCGTCAGCTGTGGCAGGGGGAAGACGTTAAGGAAACATTCGTTTTCCTGGGCAGACAGCCTCGTAAACAAAACTCTCAGCAGCCACAGGTCCTGCAGCAGTGGCAGCTGTGGTCTGCCACTTTGGAGGCAAGGGTTGGTGGATCATGCAGATTTTTTTAACTCCCCAACCCACTGGGCTGTCATCAATTTGGAAGTACAGCAAGTGGATTAGTTTGTTCCTTGAGTGCATATCTCGAAAGTGTTAACCCCTTAAATGCATGGGATTTTTTCTGTGTTCTCTGGTTTCCTCCCACATGCCAGACACCCATTGATAGAATTGGCCATTGATTCTCAAGACTGAAAAATAAAATTGTGGTTTAGCAAGGCTTTTATGAATAAATAAAGGGAATTCAGATTTAGGGCACAATAATGACTGTTGTTTTTTGTATACTCTGATGACTCAAGTACCACTCTGGGGTTGAACAGAAATGAAAATGGTTATATTACTGGAGGGGAAAGCATCTACTGCTAACAAAAACTTGAGGCACAACCACACAGTAGCCTCAGTCATCTGCACGGAAGGTAACTGTGCGGTAGAACAATATAAATTTAGTGGTCCTAGCTTTTGTAGAAAGAGTTACAGCAATCAACAAAAAATAATTATTTAATGAGCAGACATTTGTGTTTTTTTTAAAAGAACCCAACATACAAACATCGGCGAGGGAAACACAGGTCACGCAGGCGTAACATTTCTGGGCGTAACCCCCTCAAGAACGGGACCTGCTAGAAGCACTTGGACTCACAGCCCTACCATCGTAGGAGATGATGATCGGGAACAGCCCATGAGCAGACATTTATAAAGGCACGTGAAAGACGTTCAACCTTGACCACTTACGATAATGGTGACCAGGACACAAATGTTCTTGGGGTCCTTCCAAAATACGCTGCGCTCCGTGAACTTTGCCAGGTGCACGAGGCGAGACGAGAAGGCCACGAGGCAGAGGCTCTCCAGGAGCATGGTGACCTGCGTGGGGGCGACCAGCGCTGGGGTCATGCGTCGGCCTTAGCGGCTGCAGGCAGCATCAATCAAGCAGAGCAGGGTTCTTAAACTATATTTTCTGGTGGGCCACACGTATAGCCCATGGTCCAGAGCAGCAGGCAGTGCCGCCAAAGGTAGCACCGATTTATTGCTATGGACGATAAAAGTTGATTATTTTATAACTCATTTGAATTGGTTTTCACATTCACAGCTGTTGGCCACAGAAACAAATTGGAACCGCTAAGGTTTTGCGACCCTCAGGTGGTACCAACGGGTGAAATCTCTAGTCTGGCCTGACAGACTAATAATACATTTATGTGCGTCGTTGGGCCACATGACATTGAACGTTATGGTGGCATACAGCGTCGTGACGCCATAGCCTCTCTATATTTTTGTCTCCAGGTCTCTCATCTCTTCCTATTGCTGACGTCGCTTGCACCTCGCTAATCTCGATCTCTTGGATTCAGCGCCCTCATCTCTGTCTCTTGGTTATGTATCTTTCACCTAACTAATCCTCATCTCGAAATGTCCTGGCGAAAGGGTTAGCATCTGTGTTTCGGTGGCAGGAAGTAATGTGTACCAAGATCTGGTGACAATGTGTTGAATTTTATTACAGTGTACTGTGCAGTTTTTTTGTTTATAGAGCTATACCGACTGGTCTGTGGAAAGGTGGTATCTTTTGGCAGGCAACATAGAGTATTGCAGGATGCACCCACGGGCTACAAAATATATTCATTAACTTGCTTAAAACATCCAAAGAATGTGAAAAATCCTGCAGTAGGACCCTCATGAAACTAGGTTGAGACCTTCCTAGGTGATAATATAAAATAAGTTACGTGACGTTAGGACCTTTATGCCTTACCCAGAGAGGTGATTCCAGCTGAGGTTTAGCAGGAGTCTCCAGGAAGGCCAGAGCCAGGTTCAACGCCAGAAACACATACATGGGTCCCCAGGTAACCCAGCGCGTGTACAGGCGGTAGTACCTGGTTGGGGTCATGGCACAGATCACATTTCGTGGGTTCATCATTGGCACTAGCAAGGCATTAGCAATATTTATGAATCCAAAGATTGTGAATTTAATCTAAAATAGATTACAATCATGTTAATACGAATTACCTGATTATCTTCTGTGAGTAATCATAACATCATACTAAGATCATTGTTATTTTCATGAATGATGTAACACAAAAATGTGTTCCTCAAAAGAGCAGAAAATGGCTATTATTCCCCACAAACTTTTCTTTTGTGACCAGGACAGTGATATTTAGAAATTTTCCTATTTTCAATGAGAAAACGCTGTGTGCATTGTGTCATTCCTTCACATAAAGTCCTGGTCACAAAAGCAAAGTTTTTGGGGAATAATAGGCATTTTCTATACTTTTGAGGCATAAGCCAGGAACAAAAATCGTGTTACATATCAATATTAACCAAAATGTACCATTGTCATAGCTTAGAATTTTAACAGTTGCGCCATTATCATTCGGCAACGTTGATCGTGGGTTCAATTTCACTATTGCGGAATGATACCGCGGTTATATTGTTCCAACAAAATAATAACTCGGCTGAACCGTTTGCTGACCAGATGCAGCGGCGGGCCGTTTGGAAGGGGATGTTTCGCGCAAACTGCGCGTCCGAGACGTACGCGGCGGCGAGCTGGAATGCCTGGGGAAGGGAGGCAGCGGTCAAAAACACACAGCACACAGGCCTCTGTTGCCTGCAAACTTACCCAACCACTCACCTTCCATAATCCCACCCCTTTCGTCTTTGCTACGGTGGGAACTCGGTCGGAAACGTGCCTGTTACATCACGCCGCGTGATCATCAGCGTCGTTGTGGAGAATATAAGCATGGAAGCAAAATCATTTGGACAATACGCCTCCTACTCATATGTGCGCACATGAATTTTATTATAATTTACAGATCTATCGGCCACCACAACCTTCCGCGGGGTAGTTTGTTTTTCAGCAGTAATTATTTAATACAACAAAACTATGAACCTGTTTTTACATTTAGTGTCTCCTCAGAAATCGAAAATTCACTTCCAGAAGATCGGTTGGACCGATGGGATCTAAACAAAACCTTTACAAAAAAAAGTGTCTTGTGGAAATACGGGGATAGGAATGAGGCGTAGCGCCTGTTTATTCACTTTGTGACAGTAACATTACATCGCAAGCCAGTCTGTGTGCGGTCGCCAAGTGACGCTTACATTTGTCAGACAATGTTGGTTATGTACACGTGCTCTATCGGCGTGTGTACACACTATGTGGACTACCTTCATGTTTGTCAATGCCTATACAAATTGCGTCACGGCTGTGTAGAACCGTGGTGCCGCCGCAACGGAGCCGCTCCGTCGGGGCCGTACCCACCGCCGTGACGCCGCCACCAAGGAGCGACGGCACCGACGCTGCTCGCCCCTCACCGCCCCCCACGTGAACGCACGCATACCCCACATAGAGCCCGAGGGGAAGTCGCCTGGCCGGCAGGTTTTCGTCCAGAAGCCCCTAATGGGATCAAGCTTCACGGTTTCCTACGGCCGGGGAATTGGGCGACCTACCCCCGAGGCTGACGTGCACCGCGGCGCCGTGACCTGGGATTGTAATTGCATGGTCACGGCAGGGGCTGTTGAGCCACCGCGGATGGAGACACGCACACGCAACACGGGTCAGTAGGCTGGTAGCGGGAGGAGCAGAAAGCGGACGTCGAGGGGACCACTGAGGTGACGTCACCAGAGCTAGGATCTGACTATCAAAAGAGCGGGAAAATCCGGGCCCCTGATTGGACGGGAGGCCAAGGGGGCGAAACAGCGGAGCGCATTTGTTATGGGTAGGATAAAAGGAGGGTGATTCAGGCAGTGAGGGAGTCAGTGTTCTTCAAGGCATCGAGATCAGCGGAGTGGTGGGCCAGCCGTTCGAGTCGTCCGTATGACGAGCATCTAGCGCAGCCGGGCCAAGTTCTCCACGGAGACATCGTACAACATCGCCCTTCCACAGTTTCCTGCGCATCAGAGCGGGAGCAAGAGTAAGTAAGGGAGAGGTGAGTTTGGGCTAATTAACCAGAGGGTAGAAAGTGGAGCGACAGGCAGGATAAATTGAGTCCCGGATCCCCCAGGGATAGGCTAGTGTCCGCTGACCCACACAAAAACGCATAGTTTAGCGGGTTATTCGCGGGGAATAAATCGTCAGTAGAGGATAAACTGTGTCGTGTGGTCTTTGTGAGTGTGAAAGAGGGTGGAGTGCTTTGTGTGCGCGCACACGCGTGGCTGTTTACACGGCCTTTAAATCGGCTCAGAGGGACCTCCAATCGGCTGCGAGCACGCGGTAGACGCCCCTGCCCTCTGACCCCCGACCCCGAGTCCCTCGCGTGCGATTGATGTACGGAGCCGGGCAGGTAGCGGAGTCGGGTTTGTTGGCGCCTGGGTACGTAGGGCGTGTGTGTGAACGGATCCCGGGGGGCTAAGCGCCAGCCGCGGACCATGCCTCGCACAGCAGCGGCGAAGGTGGGAGAGCCGGAGGGTAGCAACCCTCCCCCGAGTGTGGAAGAGGAGAGCCTCGGATCACAAGGGAACGGGGATTCGGGGAGCAGCGGGTCCCCACAGAACACATAATCACCTTGTGCGCACTTAACTCTAGGTAATCCAATGGTCGCATGCTTGTAATTTGTCTACGTTTCACTAGGGCGGACGGTGCTTGTCACGTTTGATTTGTTCCACATGTCTGGGCTCAGTAGCCTTTGCTGACAGCGTTTGCATTCACGCAGAGGCGGCAGCAGCAGCTCTCTGCACTCATGCAAGAAGTTATTGAACTCTACCTGGATAAACGAGGGGGGAGGGGGGGCATGGATTGTTGATATACGCAGAGGGTTGGCTCGAGTACGGGGAGGTCATTGTTACTCATCACTGTTATTATGCTTGTTTACCCAGGAAGGTATCAAGACCCTCTTTTTCCAGGAGGGCTCTGCCAATTTTTCTCCAGAGGAGGCGAGACTGCTGTTTGTAATCCCAATTGGGTCATTTCAAGATTATTAAGCAATTGGGATATTTGGCCAATGCCACACTTCCAGTACACCATCATCACGATCCATGAAGAGATAGCACGTAGGTGGCCACTGCATATTTGGTCACTTTTAGTTACATTTCAACACGTACGCTTTCGCGACCAATATCCATAACAGAGGTTTTTCTTGGGTTAAATCGCGTCAATATAAATGTGTCGTTAAACCCGCCACCACCCGACGCAGCCAATTACTAAAGTTTGTCACGTAAACAAAACATGCCAATTAGTTCAGCACACCGGTGTGTTGGGAGAGTAAACCCACAACATTTGCAATTCGAGGACGACGTTTCGCCGCTAATTACAACCAGCTGCAGCAGGCGACAGCCAGAATTGTGCAGAAATCCCCCTGTTTCGGTCTGAGTTACAATGCATGTTGCTAGCTGGTGGAGGACAACCGGACAACCCGGAGGAAACTCATGCGGAATGGAGGGGGGGGGGAGAGAACACAAACTACACACAGAATGGTGCACCCAAGTCGGGAACCGAGCCCAAACACTTCATGGTGTGAGGCTCAAGTGTTACCACTATGCGTGCACCCTGCTGACTTACGGAGAGAAAGTATCGCAATGAAAGGTCAGGCGTTGCTCTCAGAAAACACACAAGAGTACGGTGTAGAGGGTGGCCTAGATGGCTTGTGACCACCCCCCCCCCCCTCCATTTAATTCTATAAACGTATTTTTTAAAAGTAAGGTTTATTTAAAACAAGTTGATGTTGCAAAGGGGGTAAAATGTTTGTGGTCAATGTATTGTGGGTCACGAAACATCTGGACCCCCCCTCTAAAGTAGATCGATTGAAGGTGAAAATCTGTCCGGGTATCTCGTGTGGGCAACAGGGGGCAGCAAAATGGAACCCCCACGTCGATGCGTCCCGCCTTCACCAACCCCGCACTGTCCATAATCAAGGGGGGGTTAGATCGCATGAATATAAATGTGTCGTTAAACCTGCCACCACCCGACACAGCCAATGAGTTAAGGTTTGTCACGCAAACAGAACATGACAATTAGTTGCTGCTTCAGCACACCGATCTAACCCCAAAAAACCCTCCATTTATTATGGATGATATTGGCCGCGAAAGCCGACGTATTAAACCAACCCGCACTGACCGGCGTGGTCAAGTTTGGTCAAAGTAACCCACGCAGGGGCCCTCATCCAGCAGCGCATTCGCGTTTTTAGAACTGGTGAAGTGGTTAATGGCATGACGTGGCAGCATCCTGACTTACAATCCCCAGTGTAAGAAGTCAGTCAACATTTGGTTATCCAATCGGGCCCCGTCATTGCAACGTGGAACCTCCACCAATATGCGTGGGTCCTCAACGGTTACGAGGTTCGCTCACCGTGTGATGGAGTAACAATCAGAATATTGAGTTATCCTGGAGAAATCCGATGAGCTAAAAAGCTCTTTTTCACAGATATCCAGTAGAGGGCATGTCAGAACGTTACAAGAATACACAAACACGATAGGAGTGCAAAGAAGTGGAAAGGTAAACAAATCACTTTTAAAGAATACATACAAATAAAAAAACTATTACCAGTTAAAGCCCGCTGAGCTATTAGCTTATTTTTCTGAAACGACCTGGCAACGAGGGATAGCTCGACGAAGTGGCTTATCGCGCGGACATTCATCACGGCAAACAAAAAAACAAAACAAATAAATAATATTTAAAAAAACTTTTTTTAAAAACACGCTTTAATGAAATGTACCATACTAGTAATGGCATAACTCCACGACTCCAGGAAGTGGCCGAGAAGCTTGCCACAACGTAATGGGACCGTGGTGATTTACAGCCAACGTCAGTTGAGCGTGGACAATAAGACCCAAGCCGAAACATAACATTTAAAAAATAATGTTTAATTTTTTTATGATAGAATATCATATTGTCATCAGTATGACATAAGTATACCAAGTTTGCAGTCGATACCACATTGGGAAGTGGGTAAAAATTGAGTTACAAGATTTGAGGATACAACAACAACAGACAGTGAGTTAATAAAAGGCGTGTAATAAAATAATAATAACCTCGGCGCAATGTTTATAAATGCGGAGGGATAAACCCCGGAGGGTCCGAAGAAGCGAGGTGCGCACAACACGCGTTGAGACTCGGTGTGGTTGCGCGCAGCAAGGCAGCGTGACCTCGCAATCATTAACCCGACACAAGCACCTCGCTGAGTTGGACACCCCAATAGGGGCTCAGCAGACGCGGGTCTCACCGTCTGCCACTGCGTCGTTCTCAAAGTTTTCATTTTGATTTCATTTATTTGGTATAGCCCTGTGAGCCATTCGGCGCTTGAATCGGGTGCAACCGCAACAAACAAAAAAACAAAAACATGAACAAGAAAACATCTTAAAGTGACTTTGTGCATGTGCAAACAGAAAATCCAGGAAAAAAACATCAAAATATTCCTGAAATAGCACCGTACACCAACGCTGTGTGCAAAAATCCCAGTGGGATGCAAGTCAAACAACAACAACAACAAGAAAACTTAGATTAAGGCCATCAGTCTAACTCCGTACTACAATAAACAAAAACATGGCCAAACCAAAAAACTTTTAGAAATCACCAAAATAAAGCCATAAATGCAATGTAACAGTGAACATAGGAACTGTGACCTAATTTTTAACAATAAATTACATAAATAACATGTAACACCAAACCCTAGAGCCACAGCTGGCTGCATGAGTCACTCCACAAACAACAGGAGCATCAGTCGGAGTATCACATTTTTCAATGCACCTTTAAGATCAGCACACCAAATCAAAATACAGATAATACTTTGCAGCGGTCATCCGGAGCGAAACATTTTATTTTATTTTAGGTCACTGACTAGCAGTGGCAGCTCGGGGTGTACAACTCCTCTAGAGCAGTTTTGAGTGAAGATCTCATAGGTAGTGATTCAAGTTGCAGAGTCAACGCGTCTCACAAGAAGAGTGAAGGGGGGGGGGGTCTTAACCCCGCCACCAGCTCCACATTCCGCTCGGATGGTGTGGCCACAATGTGGTTGCTCGAACACCAAATGAGATACATTTTCATCTTGATTTGAAGCTTTCGTGACTCCAGTAATCCATACTCTTTGGTTCTTTCGGTAAAGTCACGTAGGTAGAAAAATAAAATAAAACAAAAAATAATATATCACGACGTTTCGATCGCAACACAAGCGGTCGTCATCAGGCAGAACAAATAATCCAGCAGTGGAAACTGCTGAACCAGCGAGAGAGCTGTAACAACAAGAGGTTATACTGGTAGGAACGAAGTTGTAAACTGAGTGTACCAGCCTGCAATAGATTAATGTGTCCGTCCGTCCGTCCCCTTTCAATACTTTAACGAAGTGAAATCTCGTGCTGTTGGGTGTAAAATCAGCAATAGACAGCGCAGAGACTTGATATGTCTTATTGCACCCAACATTTGGAAGTACCAATGTCATAAAATTGCGCAAAATTCCAATGTTCCTACCAGCCCTCCCTGCAGGGACCTGTTTTAGCTCCTTTCCAGCTGAGACCCCGCTTTCTTGCCCATCGCCACATAAATCACCTCCTTGTAACAGCTCTTTCGCTGGTTCAGCAGTTTCACTGCTCGATTATTTATTTTTCCCGCCTGATGACGACCGCTCGTGTTGCGATCGAAACGTCGTGATCTATTATGTTTCTACCTACGTGACTTTACCGAAAGAAGCAAAGAGTAAGATACCTTTTGCAAGAAAATCATGTCTTCATTAACCACACGTACGTGCGGTAAAACATGCAAACAAACTTGCTCTGATAATAAATGCATTGTCTTTGAAAACGGATTGGCCAACACCAGAGAGAGAGAGTTTTCTTTATGGCTTTGTCTCACCAGTGTCAGACGAGAGAACGCCAAAATACGAACAGTACAAAGACTGCACTTATTAGAACATTATAACTCGGCTTGAGCAGTTATTTCCGGAAAGGGTAACACTTATTCTTATTTTGCATAATTTGATACTGGCAAAAAAAAGTCCCATAGATATTGTAGTTGGTCTTGTCTGGGCAAGCGGAAATGCCCCATGGTGTAGAGTGTCGTCTCCCATCCGCTCCGTCTCTCTGGCTTCTCTGTTTACGTGCTATGCCGAAGGGTCATTGTCCGAAACGTCGCCAATTATACGTGTTTATTTGAAGACCAAAGTGTGCGTTGACGAATGTGTTGAATTTATCTGTGCCTGTGCACCGCTGCCAACGGGGAACGCCACTTCATTTGTATAACGGCAGAGCTGTCAACCCTTTATCAGTGCCTACTTTATTACAGACCAATTGAGACCTTATTGGTCACCCCGTGCCCTTAAACATCTCAGCGTTCATCCTACAAAGTCCCATCACAGGGGAGAAACAAGCAAACAAATAGACAAAACATTGTTTTGCCCGTATTGAAACGGTTGTACGTCGTATGGACCTGGAAACTACATTTCCCTGTAGAAGAATACGGCTAAACCGTGTGACTTGAGAGCGATGCATCCGCTCCGTCTCTCTGGCTTCTCTGTTTCCGTGCTACGTCGAAGGGCCATTGTCCGAAACGTCGCCAGTTATGCACGTTCGTTTTAAGGCCAAAGTGTGTGTTGACGAATGCGTTGAATGTGTTATTTGTGCCTGTGCACCACCAATTCACTTGATGATAGATCCGCTAAGGAGAGTGAACTTTGGTCCGCCCAAAGGGACATTTGGTGGTGCAGGGCCCAATCCCAAAGTACCCCTGCAGCGCCGCCTCTGAAGGAGACCAATGAGCCTTGACTGATATGCCTGCCGAGGCGTGGAAGGTGAGTTATGTGGGTTTTTTTATACTGCAGCTTGCATCATCATTATCAAAGATTCGACGGCTTGCGAGTGCGGCCAAGAATCCAATACAATGGACCCGCATCGTAAAAACTCCGCCGCTGCTGCCTACGCCTTCGTTAAAGGAGGAATGGAATGGACGAGATCGACTCTGCTTCTGAACAAACAATCGAGTCGATAACAACATCTAAAATTACACCTTGAATCTGCTGCTATTAATCCGTACGAAAGAGGAAGACCGCCATCGTCGTCATCATCATCACCATCGTCCCGTCAACGTTGTCCGACGCCAGTTTAGGCTGATTAAATTAATCGAACAAAGTAACTTGTTTTTTTTATGTGCACGTGGAAATCAGTCGAGCGCCACTACAATTTGGCAATTTGAGTGGTGGAGGGGCTGTAAATGCGTTAATTACACTCTGCAGACGTAATTACCGCTCATTACAAATCGACTCACAAACTCGTAGCAATGGGATGATCATTCGTGGCTCCATTGTGCGATCATCACCTAGCCACCTCTTCTCATCACCTAGCCACCTCTTCTCATCATCGCCACTCGCAACCCCCCCCCAACCACCCTCTCATCTCCTTCCCGCACTCCCCTCACCTACTGCCCCGTCTCATCTCCTCTCCACCCCTCACCTCATCGCCGTCCTCACCCACAAACCCCCTCCTTCATCACCGTCCTCACCTCTTCGTCTGTCGGGCCCCGCTCGTTCTCGCCACCCTGAGGCTGCATCGTGACTGCCGTTGCTGCTCCTTGCAGCTGTGTTTGGTTTGAAGGCACAACCTCTCCCCTGCAATCCGATTCGGCCGGGCACCACCAGGGCGTTCGAACCGGTTTTTGTCGAGGTTCGCAGTCTTTTTCCCTCCCTATCCCACCACCACCACCACCATCCCCCCCAGATGGAAGCCTTCAACGCGAGTTCCGAGTCCCCCGTGTAGGAGTCAGGGACGTGCGTGCCGCGGCGGCGTTTAGAACGTCGCAAGTTTACGCGACAAAAAAAAGTTGCTTAAAAAAGTTTCTGTTTTTTTAAAGAGAGCGAGAGAGAGCGAGCGAGACGAACGCGCACTCTGCGAGCTGTAGCGGAGACACGGGCGAGGCAGTCATGTGACGGCGCTTCCTGCGCAAAGTCCGGCCCCAGTACCCTGCCCCAGCACCCCGGCCCCGTTCCAAACCAGCGGGCCAATTGCTCCTCCGTCCGCGATGGGACGCTTTGATCACTCCTCCCTCCCGTCGTTTCGCGACGGGCACCGCGCAACTCTCGCTCTTCCCGTGACGAATGAGCCCCTCAAGCTACTGCCGCTCGCTGCAAAAGCTCCCACGCCTCCCTGGATGGACACCAAAGCGCTCGCACTCGTCCGTGGTGGACGCTTCAATTGATCACGTCTGTTATACCGACGTGGTGGACGATTCACTCTCCACGCGACGAAGACCCACCTTCATCACCCTTCCGGTGATGAAGATTTGTATTCGCCGAGCCACTGTCTTCTTCTTCACCCCCCCCCCCCACACACACACAATGAAGATGGTTACCGAACTCTCATGGCAAGAAGACTGGTGGATAACTAGCATTCCTCAAAATAAACCCAATATAGATAGCCCTCGTTTAAACAGGCCAGGGGCAACCGTTAATGTTGAACGACAGCTCAACAGTAATAAGTAACAAGGATACAATGTGGGTGCGACTCCCGTGTATTTCTGCCGTCACCCCCCCCCCCCCCCACGTATGTTTAGAAAAGCCGAAGGAAAACGGCCACTGCCGTTGAATATTGCACCAACATGTTTTGAAGGATTTCGAAGATAAGGGGGTGTGCTGAGCCTTCAGGAAGTGCGAAGGGGGTTTGGTGTGTGTGGGGGGGGGTCAGCAGTCTGCAGCCCCCTGAAAGCTGAGTCGTCACTCCCGTTGATTCATCACCTCGGTGATTTCCATAATGTTCGGTTACCATTCTTCTTTCAACCTCGGAGCAGCTATATTTCTGGCGCAAAAGAATCAAAATGATGAAATAAAGAGGTGGACGAGAGCGGGATGGGGTGCTTTTGGGAAGCTGAACTCGATAGTGAAAAGTCACCTACCGGTGTACCTTGAGAATATATTGTATTCAGTGTAATTACTGCCTGCTATGACATTGATCAGAATCAGACATGAATGGAAATGGAACAATGTGGAACCTTGCACAAAGAATACTGAATAATCGGTTGCTTGAGGTTACGTTGTGGGACAGAAACAATAAAACATGAATTAGAGAGCGTGCGTAGATTGGCAATTCATCACAAGTAGGCTTGGGTAGGACACGTCGTGTTTGCACAAGAGCCTTCATTACGCCTTGGTTCTTCCGGTAAAGTCTTTAAATCAAGATTGAACCGCCTCTACGGGGAGGGTTTCCACACAACTATTAGATATTTTAACAGACTGCAAGCAGTTTTTTTCTTGATGTGGTTGTCGCACCTGATGACGATTGCTTGTGTTGCGATCAAAACGTCGTGATCTATTATTTTTCTACCTACGTGACTTTACCGAAAGAACCAAAGAGTATGGATTCCTGCAGTCATGAAAGCTTCAAATAAAGATAGAGCCTTCATTATCAACTCTTTTTTTCTGGAGGGTCCTGTCAGGTTTGACGGTAGGGGACGATGTTGCCGAGTAATTTGCAGTTACATTTTCAGCATTTGGATATTTGATCAATACCAATTAGATTATACTGCGTTTGTTTTTAGCTATGGAAGAACACCAGAGAACCCAAGAGGTTGGAGAAAATACAAACTCCACACTCAAAGGCACCCGAGACCTTCTTGCAGTGAGGCAGGCACAAGTGTTTACCACTGCACCACCCTGCCCTCCATGAGACCCAATGGTAATGGATGACGGAGTGGTCGCCAAGGGGTGTAACGCTTCCCAAGAGTCGTTCACCGAGATGAACATGTTAACATATTGCCAGAGATCAATTAATTTTATTTCACCGGTACTTTGTGAATCTCACCCGTTTCCACGATACACATTCTATATGAAGCCAAACACATTGTCACGCCTTCGTAAAACGAGCATATTATTTTATGCAGTCAATGATTCACTTAACCATTAACAGTTTGATGTACCAGGTAAACCAATAGGCAGTGCAATGTCTAATATAAATGGCGTACTGCAGTTTTGCAGAGCCTTCAAGTACAATTAGCGGGTGTCATTGTAAGTGCAAATATTTTTGACATCAGGAAAATTGACAAGCAATGTATCTTCTGAAATGAACCTAGTATTTCAGCAGCATATACCATATACAATGACGAGCATGGAAAAGGCACCAAAATTCAGTAGTGATCATGCCTGTTGATGACCAAACTCCAGTTTCACCTGTTACCATATTCCAAGAGATAATTTCGTTTTATTTAACTGGTACTTTGTGTGCGGATCTCACCTGCTTCCACAAGACACATTCTATATGGAGCCAACACATTGTCAAACCTTCTAGTAAAACGACTTTATTAAGTTTTACGAGAAGGCGAGCATGTCATGTTATGCACAGTCAATTATTCACTTAACCATTAAAAGCTTGATGTACCATGTAAACCAATAGGCAGTGTAATGTCTAATAGAAATGGTGTACTGTACAGTGTTGCAATGCCTCTATGTACAATTATTAGTTGTCATTGGAAGTGTAATAATAAAGTGGTATCTTTATAATATAATGAAAATAGAAAAATGTGACAAGCAATGTATCTCCTGAAATAAACCCACACTATCGTGGTTCAGCAGCATATACAGCATACAATGACGAGCCAGGGAAAGGCGCCAACATTCTCTGGCTTGCAAACTTAAAGAGATATGTTGCTCTTCACGGGCGACAGGGGAAGCATACTTCTTGTAGACATCAGGTTCTCGGTTCCCCTACGGGTTGGGTAGGAAATCAAACAGATTTATCCTCACGAAAATTCATATTGTCTATTAACTTTTTAAAGAATACATTTTTTTTTTCAATTCACAAAATTGCAGCCCACCTTTTATATTGGAAATTACTCCAGAGGTTGCTGAGCGTTGGTTGAGAGCCTTGGCTCATGTTCTCAGAGTTGATTTTGTGCTTTTCAGGTTTTTTGCGGCTAAGGCCACTGGCCTTGGCCTGGCCGAACATGTGGGGGCTGTGGATGCCTCCAGAGAGGACCTTGCCTGCCTTCGACAGCCCCACACCCTGCGCAAAGCAGATGTTGTTTTAATGGCGCACTCTGGAATAACTTGAATAGTGTGTGAGATTTTGCAATGCCGCCTAAAAATATCAACCGCTAACTAATCAATTATGATGGCAAGTGCAATTACAAAAAAATATATAAGTTTGAAATTAAGTCTAAATTTTCCCAAAATTAGATTTCTCGGTACGGATCTAAAGAATGTAGATATATTTCGATTTAATGCTTTCGTGGCTGCAGGGATTCATCTTCTTGGTTCTTTCGGTAGTCACGTAGAATGGAAATACAATAATAAAACATAATAAAATAAAATTCTCACGACATTTCGGCCACAACACAAGTAGCCTTTCTTCAGGTGAAGGAACAGAACTGTCAGGACGACAGCGCTTCAATGAAGCTTCAATGATGCGCTGTCGTTCAATGAAGAGCTGTCGTCCCGACAGTTCTGTTCCTTCACCTGAAGAAGGCTACTTGTGTTGTGGCCGAAACGTCGTGAGAATTGTATTTTATTATGTTTTGTTTTTATTATTTTATTTCCATTCTACGTGACTTTACCGAAAGAACAACGAAAATGTAGATATACACAAGACATTTTATAAAAAAAATGTCAACGTCTCACATCACTCTTCTTAAACATCACTCTCACTCAATATACTTGTTAAATATTTTGAACTCTCCTCTGTAAGATATGGAGCCATAGCTTTCACAACATATGTTGAGAAGACAGTCATGAGAAATTAGTAGGGCATCTATAAAAGGATCACCCTGTATATTTGTCCATCATTATTCAGGTTTACATAAACATGTTAAGATTTACACTTTTTGGTATGCGTAGGCTCTGGAAATGAGTGGCATTTGCTCTATTTTGAAACGGTAAGAATGCAGCTGGTCAAGTTGGTGGCATTGCTGAAGTTAATTACACGATAATAATAGGACTGGAATTATTTGTAAAATTACCTTAAAATGCTGATTGGGTGGACAGCTTGGAACATCCTGTGCAGGAGAGGTAACAATAATTCCTCTGGCAGGAGATTGGAGGCTGGCATGTGGTAATGATGGTGGGGAGGATGAGAGGGAGGCCTCATGGCCATCCTCAGTCTCACTCAGGTTGCCACCACCATCTCCTGCTGCCCGAGTCTGTAAACATCTTTGATCCATTTGAGCAAATGGATTTAACGTATTTGTGCTTGGTAGGTTCGTTGTTGAAACTGCTTCCTGTTGGAAAATAAAATGTACACCACAATGTTATTACTGACGCATACAGGAGACTCTTAAATATTGCGGGGGTTACGTTCTTTGAAAGTTCCGCAAAAGTCAAAACCACGATATTCAATACTTAAGCCTTACCTAAATAATGGGGTAAGGTACATGACAACCAAAAAGACACATCACAATTTAAACCAGTACTGTATGCCAAATAAACGAATAACTAAATAACTGAAATGAACATGTAAAAACCCTATATAAAAATGTGTTGAGACAATAGTATAAATCCTGTATTTACCGATGATGATCCAAAGCTTGTGTTTGTCCACAAGTGTGGGGCGATAGTGTAGCGGTTAGCGCATTGTGCTACGAACCCGGCGACCGGAGTTCGATTCCCGCTCACAGCCAACACCAGTGATAATTATCTGAACCGATCATGGGACTCTCCCTAGGTCGACGCCACCTAAAATGAGTACCTGGTGCGGTCTGTAAACATCACCACTGGGGAGATGAAACGGCGGCCAGGCATGGTGTTGGCCACCCACCCCCTCGTTTGCCATGCCAGCCTTTATCGGTGCTCGCTAACAGCACTTACGCCAACAGTCTGTTAGTAGGCTATAATATGGTTCTTTGTCCGTGAGATGCTTGCATGGCAAAAGTTGATGTGCCACTGACTGCCTCGCATCCCTCGCCCGCCCCACGGTATCAGCCAATGATACATTAGACTCGCGAAAGGCCAAAACTAGGACAGTGCATATTATTATCAGAGTTGTCTCTTTTGTTTGCATTTTGACTGCTTGTGTTGTGGTTATTGCAAACATGATGCCTTGAATAAAGTTGTCAGTTTTTGTGCCCGTTAAAAGGGTAAAACCTATTACTATAGGCCAAAACGAACCCCCGCGCGAGATAAATTGGTATACAAAGAGGTTGACCGAAATAGGTCGAAATCGCGAACGTAAACCCGCGATATTCAAGGTTCTCCTGTGTAAAATAATGCATTATCACCTCATTTATTAACAAGGAAAATAAGTATAATTCAAACCTGTGGTTGCCTTCTAAAACGACTAAGTCTGTCGATGGCAGAGTTGCTTTCTTGTGCATGTCTTGTCGTGCTCCCGGACCAACTGAAGGCAGTTGCAGTCACCTGCCGTGGCTGTGCACTGAATATTTTACTTTCCGTCATTGTGACATTCTCTGTAAAATGTGAAAGTGGTGACTCTTCATCTTGTGCTGAGGATGTCAGACATTGTGTCTCCTTTAAGGTTGATGACACTTCTCTTGATTGGTTTGAACTGCCAGTTAGTTCTTGATCAACTG